GCAGCAGACACAGCAGGCGCAGTAGTAGGGATAGCAGCAGACGCAGCAGGCGCAGCAGCAGGGATAGCAGCAGACACAGCAGGTGCAGCAAGCGCAGCAGATGTAGCAGCAGGCGCAGCAGCAGGGATAGCAGCAGGTGCAGCAGCAGGGATAGCAGCAGACGCAGCAGGCACAGCAGCAGATGTAGCAGCAGGCGCAGCAGCAGGGATAGCAGCAGACGCAGCAGGCGCAGCAGCAGGGATAGCAGCAGACGCAGCAGACACAGCAGGCGCAGCAGCAGGGATAGCATCAGACGCAGCAGGCGCAGCAGCAGGGATAGCAGCAGACGCAGCAGGTGCAGCAGCAGGGATAGCAGCAGACGCAGCAGGTGCAGCAGCAGGCACAGCAGCAGGCGTAGCAGGTGAAGCAGCAGGTACAGCAGGCACAGCAGCAGACGCAGCAGGCATAGCAGCAGGCGCAGCAGGTGCAGCAGTAGGCGCAGCAGCAGACGCAGCAGGTGCAGCAGCAGACGCAGCAGGTGCAGCAGCAGACGCAGCAGGTGCAGCAAGCGCAGCAGATGTAGCAGCAGGTGCAGCAGCAGGGATAGCAGCAGACGCAGCAGGCGCAGCAGCAGGGATAGCAGCAGACACAGCAGGTGCAGCAGCAGGCACAGCAGCAGGCGTAGCAGGTGAAGCAGCAGGTACAGCAGGCACAGCAGCAGACGCAGCAGGCATAGCAGCAGGTGCAGCAGTAGGCGCAGCAGCAGACGCAGCAGGTGCAGCAGCAGGGACAGCAGCAGACGCAGCAGGTACAGCAAGCGCAGCAGATGTAGCAGCAGGTGCAGCAGCAGGGATAGCAGCAGACGCAGCAGGTGCAGCAGCAGGTGCTGCGGGATACAGTCGTGACACAGAAATGCAGTGCATGCAGTTCCCCGGCCTCCAGCTCAGTGCCCAGGCCACTCTGGCGGACTTCCAGCTCCTCCACCAGTCAGCTCTGCACATGTGTGACGGTGTTGGGGCCTCTCACCTCCTGGGCCTCTGTTCCCTCCTTTGTAAAATCAGTCAAAATGCCAACATCTCGGTGTTAATTTCTGAACAGGAGAAAAATCTCCATAAAGTATCCCAGAGCGGTGTCTGCCACACGGCAGGCAAACAGTAAACGTTAGGCATCGTTGTTCTGTTGCTCAAATAGTCGTAATAACAATGATAATCATGTTTCTACCATGTAATTATATAAACATAACAGTTATTATTATCAGTGGGAAAATATGTCTCTCTCTGGCTTCTCCTCAAATTGGCAAAGGCAAATACCAATGGGGTTTTCTTTCCAAAAAGATGGGAATTCAGTTACGGCCAATGCAATACACCTGTAGGTTGTGTTCCTACCCAGTTGTAGGTGCGGGCTTCTCTAGTGACACGTGGACCCCTGGGAGGAGAAGCTTCCCTTAGGGCAGATAAGAGTCTCTAAACTACAGAGTTACTTCCACTCACGGCAGAATCTGCAGAAGTGTTCGGTGCATTTGACCTTGCCTAGTGACTGGCGCTGTGCCGTTCCCGTCTTTTATGTCTAGGGCACAGCTGGGCCACCAGCAGTCCTTCCTCGGGGAGGATGGTTTCCCACATTTCTTCTCCGGTCTCCTCAGAGGCTGCGGTGGTTGGAGTGTTTTGTGGGAGCCAGTGCAGGAAACGGGAGACAGGAGCAGGACAGCGGTCAGGCTCCGTGTGCAGGCTCGGTGTCTTCTGGTGTTGAGGGGGAGTCGCCCAGTCCAGCGGGAGTGGTGCTACGCTGGTGTGCAGTGTCATCGGGAGAAGGGACACTGCAGCACCTGCCCTGGCCAATGGCGATCATGTCATTACCGTTTAACGAGGCCCCAACATCAGCTCTCGCTAAGGTCTCAAGACTGGTCAAGTTGGCGTTGTGGCCTGCTGAGCAGCAACTTGATAAGAAGAGCAGAACGAGAATCTCAGAGCTGGGATGGACATCAGAGGCGCCCTCTTCACCAGTTAGGACATCGGGGCCCAGAGTTACGGGGAGGTCACTCCGCCCAGGATGGCACTGGCCCCGCACGCAGCGAGCGTGTGGGGGGAATCGAGCTTCACCTCTTCATGCTACACTCTTGCTTCCTGCCTGTCCTCTGCTTTCTCTGGTTTTCCATGATCCCTTTTGGAAATCTGTCTTCCCTGCTTTGTACTTTTAAAAATTCCTGTTAATGGTGATTTCAGTGAATTCTTACCTATTGGAAAGGCTCTGAAAGAAGTTTCTCCCCTGAAAGAAATGGTACTAACAGTTCGGGGACCTTTTTTTAGCCTGCCCCCCACTTGCCTTTAACAAGCTGCAATTCCTCTGCTTAAATGTCTAAAACCCAGAATTTCAAGGGTAAGTGGTATTTGGGAGTGGAGTGTGGGTCTCTTTTGGAGAGAGAAGGTGTTCCTCTATAAAAATTCCTTTTTGAGAGACACCTGGGTGGCTCAGTCGTTAAGCGTCTGCCTTTGGCTCATGTCATGATCCCAGGGTTCTGGGATCGAGCCCCACATCGGGCTCCCTGCTTGTGCACATGCACTCTGCCTGCCGTTCCCCCCTGCTTGTGCACATGCACTCTGTCTCTCTGTCTGGCAAATAAATAAAAATTAAAATCTGTTAAAAAAAAAGAATTCGTTTTTGAGGGATATTACTTCAAAGCAAAAATAGTTTAATTTTTTTCTGATTTTAAAAATGATAAATTTTTTAAATTTTAGAAATGACAAGTATCATGCAGGAGAGCCAAGCCATAGGGATATGCAACCTCTTGTTAATGTTTTGCTGGATGACCTCCTGTCTTTGAGCCTAAACACACACAGTTATATCAAGGGCTCCTAGCGTACCCATTTTCTCTCACTTAACGGTGTCTGGTGGAGGGTTTTCCCGCAAACGACGACAATGCGGAAGCACTGTCCTTTCCAGCCTCTGCACGTGAAGGAGTCCGCACACCTTCTTCTCTCGGTGAAGATTTAGATTGTTTTTAGATTTTGCTAAACCATCTTTTATTGAACATCTGTGTACGTTTTTGCTCACCTGACCAGTTGCCCTCTCGGCATGTGTTTCCAGAAGTAGACTTACTGGATCTAAGGGCATACCCGTTGAAAAGCTGCCCCAAACGCATGGCCACCAGCAGGGCCCCAGAGCCAATCCACTGGGCATGGGTGCCTGCCCCGGGGCACCTTTGCTTTTCCCGTAGCCCTAGGAAGGGGGTTTGTGCTAGTTCACAAGCATCTGTCTGATTCAGCGATTCGTAATGCTTGCCCAGGACAGGAATAATTGGACTGTTCCGACATACCAGGAGGAAGCGGAAGCACTCTCTGTTTCATGAATAAAGACGCTCGGTGAATCGAGCAGCTCTTTTCCAAAAGCAACAAGCAGAGATTTTAACCCGGGCACGGCCTCCTGTTCAGACCTTGCCTGGGGCCGAGCACCATGTATCAGGTTCCGTTTTAAGCACTGCCTCTTTGGGAGGATATGAAGGAGCTGGGTACCGTCCAGAGTTCGACCACAGAAGGACGATAGTCGGGAAGGCAGCCTGGTGGAAGGCGTGCGAGGGGCCGGGGTTATTTAGCCCGGGGCACAGGCCTGGGGGCGGAGGGGAGATAACTGGGCTCCAGCAGATGGAGGAAAATTGTGTAAATGACCCTTCATCTGGCGGGAGGAAGGAGTGGGTTGGATGCACAGAGGGTGGTTAGTCATTCACAAAGGGCTTCTTGGATTCGGAGCTGAGTTGTTTCACATCCTAGAGAGTTTATGTGGGTATAAATCCTTCTGATTTCTTTGGAACAGTGTTCTGCTTGGAAACAGAACTTGGTAGATCTTCAGGTTGGGGTTGCTGTTCTGTTCCGTTCTCAGTGACGTCTTTCCAATTTGTGTTTAGAACATAGGTTGTGTGAGCTAGTTACAAAAGGAAGGGGGCAAATATGAGCAGAAAGAGGGCTTTAGTGGACAGACCTGGTGCTGGAGAAGCCAGCTCTGTCATTTACTAGCCCCTGATTTCGAGGAGGCTGTTGCAGACCCCGAGCCTCACACTCTGTGTCTGTGACATATAAGGTAAGGTGATGTCTACCGTGCAGGATTCCTGAGGGGGGTGCCTGACGCCACCTGGGGCCAGTGCAGAAGTGCTTAGTAGAATGCCAGGCAGGTAACAGGTGTTTGGCAAATACTGGCTTTCCTTGCCCTTCCCTTCTAACCCTGCTGTTGGCATGAGGGCCAGAGAGTGATAGGGGCAGCAGGCTCCTAGGTGTCCATGGGACAAGAGGTCAGCGTGCACTAGTGAGAGGAGAGGGGGCTTCACATTTGGACAGTCCTGCCGACTCTTGTGTGTTCTCAGTCATGGCTTCCAAACCTGAGTGCCTCAGTCCCAGAGTCCGACAGGAAACTGTGATGTGTTTGGTTTTTGCCACAAGCAGATTCCTTCTTGGCACAAGTTTCTTTTAGAGAGTAGCTCAGAGGGGATTTTCTTTGTAAGTTTTGAAAAGTGTCCCTGGCTACGTTGGGAGTATGGTGAGATCGCGGACAAGCCACGATCCTTTATCCAGCCGCTGCTCACGTGGTGCAACATCAGGGAATCTGGACGGTTCCCGTACCCCAGAGCCCCCGTGCAGGGGTGTGGGTCCAGGGGATGCGGGAGGGTCAGCAGGGTGGGGGACAGAGGAGGGAGACCCCCATCTCAGCTCTGGGCAGGGCCCGAGAGAGGGCTGTGAGTTAGCCCCTGCCCCAGAAGCAGGCCATGCCGGGGCGCTCACGGCTGCTGGCCACCGCGAGCCGGTGTGGACTGAGTGGCATGCAGCCACGGCCGGGCTGGGGGTGGACGTGGGCAAGGAAGCAGAGGAGATCAGTCAGGAACGGAACTCAGAACCTCTCCATGGGTCAGGGCTCTCTTTTGCCGTGGACTTTACAAAGGAAAATGGATAATGCTGGTCAGCACCTGCTAGTTCAAACTGCAGAATTTTCTAGTCATGGCTCTGAGCTCCGTGGCGTTTCTTCCTTCTTCTCCTCAGCCACCTGACAGTGGGCCGCCACCGCTACCGACATCATCTCTCCCGGAAGGCTACTACGAGGAAGCCGTGCCGCTGAGCCCTGGGAAAGCTCCAGAATACATCACATCAAGTAAGTGTCAGGTCTGCCTGGTCCTCGCCGGCCTCCTGAAGTGCTGGACTGTGTGGAGGGGAATTGGGGTGGCATCAGACACCGGGGACGTGTGGAGCTCAGGCAGTGCTGACCCCGAAGGGGTGAACAGAGAAGGGGCTCCGAAAGCCCGCAGTGCCTTTGGGAACTCAAGATGGTTGTCTTTCTCTGATTCACATCGGGTGCGACCTTGTTGCTGTGGGTCGTGGGTCTCAGTGAAATGCGTCCCCTTTGGTCACAAGGCAGAGACTTGTGTGGCATGTGTTTGTGGTGCCCCTTGCCTGGGGTGTGGCCCCCCAAGGCTGCTTTCCTGTGCCAAGGAGGCTAAAGGAGGGTACAAAACCAGCCCGTCTGTCTCTTCTTGCTTTCATATGGGTTCTACTAGAACCTTCCTGCCGAGCTAGAGTTGTCTTGGCCCGGCTCTGGTCTTCCCTCATAAGCACCTCTGCGGTTTGGTTTTGGATCACCGGCTTCATTCCTCCCTCGATGCTCTGTCAGGCGGGGAGCTGTGTCTCCAAATGCAGTGGAGGGAGGGTGTCCGAGTCCCTGTGGACAAGGGATCCTTGCTTTTCTCATAAAAGATAAAGCGGAAAGTTGGGGATTGGTCGTTTTAGTCACGAGGCTTTGGGCACATTAATATTCATGGCACGCGGTGGCCCATCATGTGTCTTCTGACGGAAGTGCACGCCAGCTCCCAGGGCTGTCCTCCTGTCGCCTGCCGTCTCTGCCTCTGTCTTCCCCGGCAGCTGACAGGTGTGTCCCCAGAGGGCCTCCCTGCGAGTGCTTTCTGCATGTAAGCCGGACGGGGGCCCCTCGACGATAGGGGCCTGTTTGCTCAGCCTCCAGAGCAGTCGCATTCAGAGAAGGAAAGGGACGGTTCTGGTAACAGGGGTTAGGATGTGCTGGGTTTCGAGGTCTCAAAGTCAAGTGTTTTAGTTTCTCTGTTATTTAAAAACCATCCATGGAAAATGCACTCAGGCAATTTCTAAGTGGCCACCATTTCCAGAAGTCAGGAGATTATTCAGAAAACACCAAACCTGAAGCGGCTCGGTGTAATTCAGAACCTCACTGGCTTCCTTTCCTTCTCAGCAGCGAGTCTGGGAAAACCGGCTTTTCCTCGAGGGTATTTCCCAGCCCTGGGGCTGTCCGGCTCCAGCCTGCTCCCACCGTCCTTCCACTCCCACCCACACACTTGCAAAGCTGGAGACTGAGAGTAATTTCCTTTGACTGGGGGCCAGAGGCCGTTTTCAGTCTGAGAAGCCTCACCTCAGTGATGTGTTCTGTCCTGTTCTTCAGAGAAGCCACCCGTAGTTGCCAACAGGTGGGCAGCTTTTGTTGAACCAAGTCCAGAGGAGAGGGTAACAGAAGGATGCAGGCTCGGGGCAGCGAGTCAGCGGGGATAACACGCCAAGGCTCCCTCAGTCAGGCGTCTGTGGGTGAGCAGTGGGCGGTGAGGGCCTCGCCGTCCTGCCGAGGCACAATGCAGGGAGCTGACTTCAGATGGGTTACTCAGGGCCTCGGCAACAGCTCTGTCGAACCCTGTGTCAGGTGTGGTTCTAGCAGAGGAATGAAGGGTCCATGATAAGAAGACCTGATACAGCCGTGGAAACCGGTGGAGAAGGCTGTGGAGCAGGGCTGGCCGTCGGGGGGAGATGCAGAGCCTCGGCAGAGCTGCACGTGCCTGGCCGGGCCTCAGATGCCGGGGGGGGCGGTGCGGGGGGAACCTGCAGGGGCTGCGGGCCCAGCAGAGGGCCGGCCACCCAGGGACGGTGGTTGTGAGCCGCAGGAGTGCCTGGTACCTGCGCCAACCTTCAGCACATACTGGCGGCTGCTTCCGTCCCGCCTTCCAGATTGCTCCAGATCTCTCCGTGGCCAGCCCTAACCCAGAGTCATCCATGGAAGGGAACTTGGGGAAATGTAATTCCAGCCGTGCCGAGTTGCTCCGGGGTAAAGCTGCCACCGTCTCTCCTGTGTCCATTTGGTGGCCGAGTGCGCCTCTCTTAACCGCACTGAATTTCCAAGTAAAGACAAGAGCAGAATCACAGCGCAGGTTAACGTGATTCCACTCTCGCCTGTATCATGGAAAACCCCCTAACTGCCCCAGGGGATACAGAGTCCCTTTGTCGACTTTGGGGTGACACCCATTCTCTTCCAGCGGAGCCCTACTCTCCCCTTGGAGAGCCTGTAGCTTCGACGGGGAGATCCACGGCCAGCTGCGGTTGGGTGGTAGGGAATGGGAGAGGGGAGGAGGGGAACTTGTTTATACACACGCAGATAACAGGGAAGGTGCGTAACGAGTCCCGTCCTCATTTCTACAACCAGCCAATGGTCATACCGTGAATTTACAACTTCATGCTCCCATTGCCCTCGGCAAGCACCTTGGTCGATCACCCGGTGAGATGACTCATCTTTCCTTCCTGAAAGGTCTGGCTGCACTGGATGGTTTACTCATGGGGCATGCGAGTACTGAGAGCCACCCCAGGGACCTCCTCCTCCCCACTGGTGTGGCCATGACGGGTCCCTGCAGCCACTGCCGTTAACCCCCTCTTGGCCTGTTGACCCCGCTCCCGAGTTTAATAGAGCGATGACCGTGTCCTTTGGAGGGAATATTCTGCCCTTAGAAACTAAGACTTGGGGGCCTGAGGCAGAAATTTTGTCAGTGGGTCCCTGGGGTAACAGTGAGAGGAGCCACTACCATTTTCAGCCCTGGGTTCCCAGACCTGTGAGCCCCAATCTAGGGAAAAGAGCCCCACTGGGGCAGAGCAGATACTGCTAGAAGGTATTCTGGAAGATAGCACCCCCAGTCTCCCAGGGGTGGCCAGTCAAGCTGGTCCTGGAACTGAATATTCAAAAGGCATTCCACTGGTCTGTTGGGTCAGCTGCTTCCGGTGATGGGGACACGGCAAGACCTGTGACTCTCATGAGCACGACCCAGAGTGTGGACTTCACTTGCTGTAACGTGAATTCTCTGATCAGAAGCCATGCTGCGGGATCCCATGCTGGTGAATAAGGCATTCTGCAAGACTGTGGATGGTGCTTTTGGCAGGAGCATTGCGACAGGGAAGGTGAATGCCCTGCTGCCCCTCCCATGACGGAGGTGGTGCAGTTACTAGGTGGCGGGCTGACACCCCAGGGGACAATGTCGTGTGCGGGCAGGACACTGAGAAGGCCAGGAGTCAGACTATCCTGCCGAGTGGAGGTCCATATTTGGACGGGAAGTCTGGGGAAAGAGGCTGCCGGACATCTGTGTAATGGGCCGCGTTATGTACCTGATTGTGAAAATCTGCTGAGGCTTTGCTAAGCGCTCACCTGGTGTGTTACTCTTGACTTTCTGAGCCCATCTGGGAGGTCCGTTCACAGTCCCTTCTGCAGTCCCTGCTTGCTGCCAGTTCCCCCCAGTCTTGACCATCCAACCAAACCGTCAGGCCATGCGGAGGAGTCCGTGCTGGGAGAAGGAGCCCATGTAGCAGGCACGGGGACACGTGCACTTGAACCACTAGCTCGCACCTGTTACTTACAGCGTATGGGCCCGACGGATGCAGACTGCTTAGATGCTCTGCGGTGGGCCAGGTGACCGAGAGCCCGCGTTGGGCAGCTGAGGTGCCCGACCAAGCATTTAGATGCTGCTGGGTGTCAGAGAGCCAAAAGCAGTTTCTCAGGGTAAAATAATTGTTTCCGGAGGTTTATGTAGCTGGGCTCTGAAATCCTGAAGCTCTGTGCTGAGCTTCCCCCGAGGAACCTGCTGCCATGGGCTTCCGAAACCACCGAGAACAGGGTGTGATCAGAGACGCGGAGCCACTGTGATGTGGAACAGAAGATTTGTTGTAGGGGCTGGACCTCATGTAGTCATGGCAGCTGTTAGAGGCCGAGGGAGCTGCATCCACGAGGGCAAACTGCACCCCATCTGTCCGTGACCCCGTCACACACACACACACACACACACACACATACACTCGGCGACACAGAAGATTCTGGTGCTCTCGGCTGCGGTGCAGGTGCCTGTAGGGATCTGCGCCGCCCAAGGAGGGGGCCTAGCGGCAGGGCGGCTGACACACCACGACACATGCCTGAGCCCCAGCAGCACCCGGCGCCCCCCAGCGACCTTCGGGCGTGGCAACTGCCGCTGTCCAGTCTCTCTCTCCGCAGCGCTCCCCGCTGCTGACCTCACCTGGCCATACCGGCCAGGGAATTCTGGGTAGCCGCTTCCAGCCGGGCTGGGTCGGCAGCACCGTCACTACAAATCTTGTTGGGGCTTTGGGTTCCGACCTACATTTCACGTTATTTTCAGTTTTCTGATTGCCCTCTCTCCTCATCCTCTCCCTCCTCAAGGTCAGTTGGTTGAAATGCAAGTTGTGATTTCATGGGGAAGGGTATATGTATAAAATACACATTGTAATGTTTTATAGTTGAAAGTCATCATTTATTGGAATGTTCTTCAGTTCCGTCAGAACTGCCCGCAGAAAAGTGTCTGGTGTGAAGAACGTTTCCAAACCAGCAACATCCCATAAACACACAGATCCACACAGATCTCTTGCTGGCTCTTTGCTTTGCTTCCTTGTTCTGTAAGAAGTGTGGACGTCTACACGGGATGCTAGGACATGCCAGGGGCTCTGTCAGCCGTCCTCCTCCTCCTCCTCCGGGAGACGTTCCAGGACCCCCAGTGGATACCAGAAGCTGTGCACAGAGCCCAACCCCTATGTGCTGTGTTTCTCCCTATTCACACACCTTGGGATGAAGTAGAATTTCTAAGTGAGGCACAGGAGAATATGGGCCACAGTAGAACACGTGTAACAATACACTGTCACAAAAGTAGCAGAGTCAAGGGACGCACTGGTGGCCTCGCTTACTCAAAACGTCTTACTGTCCCACACTCACCCTTTTTCCTGCCATGACGTAACGTGGTAAAGGGCCCGCTAGAGCAGATGCTGGGGCTGAGTGGCGTGGGCGTGCGACGCAACGTCAGGGTACCGCTGATGTCCTGATGTTACGTTAGCAGGAGGATCTCCTGTTTCTGGACACCCGTTGACTGCAGGTAACTGAATCCGCGGAAAGTGGAACCGCGGATAAGGCGGGACCACCATACTGACGCACGCTTGTCTCTGGCTGAGAGGACCCGCGAGAGCGTGGGTGTCAAAGGCCTTTGTGAAGGTGAAGCAGGCCTGGTCTTTTCACAACTTTATCGGTGGCACCTGGCATCGAAGTACGGCTGGGCCTGGAGCACCACGGGGTCGGGGCCCTGACGCCCCGCACAGTCAGAAATCCATGTGTCACTTGGACTCTGCAAAACCCTAGCTACTAATCGCCTCCTGCCGACTGGAAGCTTACTGATGACACAGACAGTCTGTTGACACATCCCTCATATGTCCTGTGTATCCTGCACCGTATTCTTACAGTAAAACAAACTAGAGAAACGAAAATGTTATTAAGGCAGTTAAATACTGTCCTGTATTTATTGAAAAGAAATCTGCTTCTAAGTGGACCCGTGCAGTTCAAACCTGTGTTCCAGGCCAGCTGTGTAAGCGTGAAAAAGATTGCCCAACTCATAGTAAGCCCTCAATAAATATGTGCTGAATGAATGAAACCAAAGGTATTTCTTCCAATTACAACTGTTTATTAATGCTTTTGCTCATGTGTTAGCTAAATGTTTACTGGATTTGATGCTCTAGAAAATAAGCTAAGCACCGAGGGATGCATGGTCCTTCAAAACCTTCCTAAAATGAAAATCTGAGTTTGCACATCGCCCTTCTGAGACCTTAGATTGCACTGGGTCTCCGAGCGGCATGCGCTCTTGAAGTCTGGCCGCCTGCCTCTTCCCACCATGTGAGCTACATTCTAGCCACGCTAAACTTTTAAAACCCTTTTATTGTGAAACGTAATGTATTTACCAAATAGTACTCAAAATATGAACGCAGACTTACTGACTTATAACGTGGAGCATCTATGTAAGCACCATCTGGTCAGGAATAGAACACGTCCACCCTGGAAGCCCCCCGCGGGCCGCTTCCTTGTCACCGTCCTCTCCCCACAGATGTAACCACTAACTTAGCATCTGTGGCAAGCACCAAAATGCTACTGGAAAATGAAAAGATCCACTGTGTTCTCTAAATGTTTGATGTTTTTCAGTGCTTTTGCTCATCGTGTGCCTCTAGACTTTACTGTCTGGTTGGCAATGACTCACGAAAGATCTAGATCAAGTGTTATCTGGAGTGTTCCCTGTCCCACGTGTGCTGGCCCCTGAAGCCCATCTCCCGCAGCCTACACCGCACTCCCTGGTACGTGTCGGCCCCTCCAGCCCAGACTGGGAGAGCTTCTCCAGCGGCTGAGAGGTTCCCCGTCTCTGCCCTCAGCGTCACATCCACTTAGCCACCAGTGAGCGCTGAGCGCTAGAGGTGTGGTTCCTGCCATCAGAGAACTGAACAGATCGTTTTATCTGACTCTAATTAGAACTGACTTTAAGTAGCCCGTAAAACGGGGTGGCGGTGGTGTGTGCGGGTGGGGGGATGTGGGCTCGAGGAGGAAGCCTGACTGCGGGTGGTCGGCTGTGTATCAATGCACACGCAGGAACGGATGGTTCCGTCCCATGCACTGTCCACGGCAGTCCGGGCCGGGCCTTTCCCAGGCCTGGAGTTGGCCCCCCACACGGTCTTCTGGGCACGTCCTGGGCAGCCCTCTGCAGGGACCTCCTGGCCACCAGCCCACGCCCCAGGGCTCCGCCCGTTCGCAGTGCTGTCTGTCCGCTTCGGCTCTTGCTGAAAACCCGTCCCACACTGCTTCGTCATGATTGAAAACTCAACCTGAACCCTAGTCCTCCGTGCCCGCTCTTAGTAATGATTCTTCCTGACGTCATGGAAATGTAGGCGTGACTAGCGAGTACGGATCATACTCCGGTTCCCAGGGAGTGAGGAAGGTGAATTCCGTTCTGCGTGAGGTCTGCTGTTGCTGCGTCTCTACTCCATTGTGTAGCTGGCGGCTTCAGCCGTGCTTTCCCTTTCTCGGTCATGCATTACATAGGTCTTCATCGCTCAACCCTATCTTGAGAAGTGAGTGTATTCCTGATGCGACTGGGGGTTGAGGAGGAGGCAGAGATGAGTCAGACCCCGTCTCAAGGAGCGTATCATCCAACAGGGATGAAATTAAAATCATGGGCAGCCCCTGGTGTTGCTGGAACGTCGTGACTGTGCCAGCCATCAGCCAGAGCGCTTTGCAGGTAGAGCCCTGCTTCGCCGAGCAGCCCGCCTTCCTTGTTCTTGCCCCGCGCCGGGCACGTTGTTATGGGCTGGGATGGTCCCCCTTCCTCGGGCGGCTTCCGGCCCGATGCAGGAGGCTCACAGACACACGGCCATGACAGCACAGTGGGGCAGGCTGTATTGGGTGGTGTGGAAGCAGAGACGAGTGGCATTTCATCCTGTGCCTTGGCGCAGGCTGCCGTAGCAAAGTGCCAGACTGGTGGCAAAACACCAGACCCTTCCTTACTGTTCTGGAGGCTGGACGTCCACGAGCTGGGTGCTGGCCTGGTCAGATTGTGGCGAGGGCCTCTTCCTGGCTCACACACAGCCACCTTCTCCCCATGTCCTCACGTGGTGGACAGAGAGCAACATCTCTCTCCCTCTTCCCATAAAGACACCGGTCCTATTGAATTAGCACCCCACTCATATAACCCCACTTAACCATCGTTACCTCCTAGAAGTCCCGTCTCCAAATATAGTCTCACTGGGGTGAATTAGGGGGCACACAAGTCCACAGCCACCAGCTTTGGTGATTCAAGGAGGGCGTCATGGAGGCGGTGTCCATAAATTGAACCCTGATGGGCAAGAGCACTTACTCAGGCAGAGGCAGGAGGTTGAGTGGGATGAGCAGGAAGCCTGTGTGGGAGGGCAGCATGCGCAGAGCCCCAGCAGTGAGAGAGAATGTGCTGCATTCCGGAGACTGGAGACAGTATGATACAAATTGTGCCTGCCTTGTAGAAAGAGAAGGAGGGTGAAAATGTCTCTCTGGAACCCCTGAGGAGAGGGAGGCCTTGGGCTTGGTCGGGAACGTTAGTGAGGGCCTGTGTGTGCCGACGTGCGCAGGCAGGACCTTGCAGACCTGAGAGGACCTTGACCTAGAAGTGTGGCTTGGGAGAGCTGCACCCTTCGGCAGCAGCCCATTGGCTGGGGTCCCCTCAGCTGGCTGTGGCGTGGCCAGGTTCCGATGATGTGGGGTCTGCAGATAGCCCAGCGCTCACTGAACAGTCGAGGACTGGTTCTCACAGAAAATTCTAAGACACTTCAGTTAGAACTTGGCGTTACTTTGAACTGCCTATCATGGTTATTTTTCCCCGGTTTTTACTAATTACCGTTCCTCAGCACCCCAAACGCAGAGGCCCCTTCCTGGTACAACGAACGCGCTCCTGAGCCCACAGGTAGGCTTCCAGGTCAGGTGTGTGCAGGCAGGCCCTTTACCTTTACTTCTTTCCTTACTTCTGACAGATTATGACTCGGATGCAATGAGTAGCTCTTACGAGTCGTACGATGAGGAGGAGGAGGACGGAAAGGGCAAAAAGACACGGCACCAGTGGCCGTCCGAGGAGGCCTCCATGGACCTGGTGAAGGACGCCAAGATCTGTGCCTTCCTGCTGAGGAAGAAGCGCTTCGGGCAGTGGAGCAAGCTACTCTGTGTCGTCAAGGACACCAAGCTGCTGGTAACGCGTGGGGGGCGTGTTGTGCTTGTGTGTGGTCGGTGGGATCTGCCGGCAGCCTCATGGGTGGGACCGACACTCAGGCAGGGCGGGCATCAGCTGGTGGGAAGGGGAGGCACTCCAGCCTCAGCACAGCCTGACACGGAGCTCCCCGCGGCCAGGTGCCCAAGCGGTGAGCGCAGGTGCTTGCTGAGCCTCGAATGCCCTTGGTTTTGGTTCCTGCAGTGACCAGCAGGCAGAGTCCTTCCTATCCCGGGCCAGTGTCTGCAGTGGTGGTGGAAATACACAGGCTTTAACTTGCCAGAAGTCACAGGATGGATTTTCTCATTTGTAGTGAGTCAGTGAATTCCTCAAAGCCAGGTCATCGCGTGGGGTGGGCAGGCCAGCCGCGGTTGGGGAGAAGAGTGTCCAGGAAAGGAAATTCTTTTGGAAAGCTAGAGGCAGATTCTTTTTTTGTTTATTCCGAGGGGCTGAATAAGAGGATGGACTAAGTAACAGAGCCGCGGGGTGCAGGGACAGGCGGGCCTTCTGCTGTGCTGTCCTTTCCACAAGGGACCCCGTTAGGAAGCCGGAGCCCTTGAGCACGTGTGATGCTCCCTCCTCCCTCCTTCAGTCCTGCCTGCTTTAGAATCCCTGGTTGATTATTGGGATGATGAATTTCAGAGCGCATTTCTGCGTGTTGTTTTTCCTTCAAGCTAACTTTGGGGGGAAAATCATGGAATGATATCATTAAAACAGACCCAGGAGAGTTTATGATTCTGTGTATCCCTCTTTAGTGGAGCAGGTAACCCTATTCTTTCATCTGTGAATTTTGGGAATGTTCTTTTACTAGAGTCTTAGGATGTTTTAAATTAATGGTTTTCAAAAAAAAATGTTTTAAACAGTGAGAATACATATTTTTTCCACATGTGTGGCCTGAAAATCTCCCAAATTTAGAATATTCCAAAAAATGATGCCATGGGAGAATTTTAAAGTAAAGAATGAGAAAAAAAAGATGAAAAGGACTAATGTGGTCCTTATTTACAGTCTGACATAATGGCTGCAAGATGTGGGTGTGTTATGGAGATGCTGTAACAACCTGCAGTGGGCTCTCAGGTACAAGAGGAGTTCTGGAACGGGGCAGGAAACCTGTGGGTTTGTGGTGGGATCAGCGTCCCTCCCCTATCCCCTCCCCCACAGTCCTCCTCCACCCTCTCCCCGCCCCGCCCCTCTCATTCCTTCCATCTCCTTCCGGATTTCTGGGAATCCTGTCTTCAAAACCAGGATGAAAACACCTATCATTTAGAGTAGTGGTAAACATTTCAGAAGAAATGAATGGAAAACCATGTGAAAACACTGTCTTTGATAAAATGCAGAATCAAAGTTAATTATTTTTATTATGAAGCTTTTTTCTTTCAAAAATCCCCAAAGATCCAGTTGCCCAGATGACCCCTGTTAACACTGAGAAAAAATTAACGGTGTTAAAAAAATAAATGCTTTCCAAATTTGAACAGCACAGAAAACTGTAAACGGAAAACCAAAAGCCAGGCTCTTGCCTACATGTTCCCAGCCTGTCTTCCCGTGGGCACCACCATCCGAGGCTTTTTGGGTACGCGTCTGGCGTCTGTGCCCTTCCAGGCCCAGGCGGTCCTGCGGTGGACACAGTGATGGGCCAGAACACCCATCAGGACAGTTCGCCCAGGTCACACTCCCTCACCCGGGGTCTGCATCAGGACAACCCTGCCAGCGCCTTCCAGCTCCAGAGATGCATGGGCTCCCCTGAGGCCAGCAGCTCAGCTTCTTCATGCGCCTCTCTCCCGCAGGCCTGGCTCTCAGGGCGCATGCTGCCCCCTCTGTCTGAGAGTCCACTCCCCTCGGAGTCCGAAGGCAAGGATGTTCAGCCTGCACTTTAATGTAGGGCTGGTGACAGACCCATTTTGAGGCATTTCCTGTCTTACTCCATCCACTGTACTGTTAGTTTCCTTTTTTTCCTATTCTGTTTTTTTCTTGCACTTAGAATCCAAAAAACTGCCAAACGGTGAATGTTCATAGCAATCTGGGGTTAGTTGGTTTTGGTGTGTGTTTTTTCCTTCCATTTCAGACAGGGCAACCATCACTTGGATTTTTGTAAAACGTGGATATGTTCATGTGGCACTCAGGAGCCAAGGTTTTAGAACTTTAAAATAGGAGAGGACTCTGGAAGTCACCTCTGAAAACAGGCGTCTCTTCCTTCCCTCCCTCCTCAGTAGATGGCGCCCAGTGGAGAGAGCTGGCTGTGCGCTCAAACCCTCTGGGGCTGGGGGCGACTGCTCTTCACACGTCTGACTTTGGGCAAGCCACATAACCAATTGAGCCTCAGTTTCCCCATCTGCAAAATGGACAACTGTGGCCATCAAGTGAAAGTGTGAAACACCTACGGATGTTGACATTCCGTACTTGGTAGCAGGTGTAACTAATCATTTAGTGTGACTCAATAAAGTCATGATGATCACAGCAATAGTTCATTTTACAAATGAGGAAACAGGCTCAGCAAGCTGGAGAGAATTCCCAGGAGCCAGATTAAATTCGTAGAAGAGCCAGGACCCAGATGTCTGCACCCTGAGACTGTCCATTCCCATGAAGATGTGTGCTTTTGGTCCCAAGTCATAGGATTAGACCCAAGGAGAGAGGGGAGACCTTTGGACAAGATTTGATCTAGATTTCACAGATGCAGATGAAGCACTGGTGATGTGAACTAAATCTGAGCGTTTGCCATGGCACCAAACTCTTTAGAGGGGACGTCTGCTGTGTAAATGGAGTAGCGTTGAGTTTTGGATCCCATACTCAACTGGAAAGCAAACCTTTGCAGACATGTTGCCTAGGACGTGTTGCTGTATATACTCTTGATGAAGTCCTTCATCTGTCTCTCGGAAAGGGGATAGAGATGAGACCGGCAGATACCAAATGACATAGGTTGTAGAAGAAGGCATCCAAATGATTTCCCACGTGAGGGCTGTGCTTTTCAGCAAATCTAATATATCATGTTCATGTGACTTAGTGAGGAAGCTCCGCTGGTCCATGATCCCCATCAGAGGAGGGAGTTTCTGTTTCCTGCTGAGTCATGTCATCGATGCTCAGTAAACTTTGCCGAACTAAAGAGTAGACATATTTTCACATACGTGGGGGTGACATGTCGTGTGGAGTGCGCCCCACGTAGGTGACGCGTGTGCGTCTCCAGACCCACCCCCCGGGGTCTTCGAGAGACCTCAGAGCCTCGTAGGTGCTGGCCTTTCCGTCCTGCCAGAGCTGTATCCGGGTCTCTCCTCGAACCCTCTTCAACCTAACTCTGCTTTCTCGTGTTAAATGCAGTGTTACAAAAGTTCCAAGGACCAGCAGCCCCAGATGGAGCTGCCCCTCCAAGGCTGCAACATCACATACACCCCGAAGGACAGCAAGAAGAAGAAGCACGAGCTGAAAATCACCCAGCAAGGCACAGACCCGCTGGTTCTTGCAGTCCAGAGCAAGGAGCAGGCCGAGCAGTGGCTGAAGGTGAGGCGCTCGCCTGGCCTCTGAGCCCTTTACATGGCCAGGCCTCTCTCCCAGACCTGTGTTTAGTTCAGTTTGTCTGTTTCTCAGGCGTAGGCGAAACGGGATGAACCCGAGCAGTTTTGTCTTTGAGAGCAGAGTGTTCTGATTGCTTTGCAGCTAATCACTCCAGCCCTGGTCTTCAGAAGGCAGTGGGCCTCAAGATTGCAGGCTGTTTCACTACTTTCTCTTTTCCTTTGATTCCTTTTTTTTTTTTTTTTCATGTGTCTGGAGGTGGATTCTTTTCTATTTATTCTGCTTGGAATTTGCTGGGATTCTAAATCTGTGGATTGTCATCTTTCTAAGTTTTAGAAAACTAATTTTCAGCCATTTCTCTTAAAAATATAACTTTGTCTCATTACCCCCAACTATGTTTAAATATGTTAGACGTTTTCACTATATTCTATTTATCTTCTCTTTATATCTTAGTAGTTTTCACTATATTCTATTTATCTTCTCTTTATATCTTAGTATCCTTTTTTTTTCTCCCTAATCTGGTTAATGTTTTCTTGTTAATTTCTGGCCCACTCTTTCTCTTTCCGGCTATGCCAGATCTGCTGTTAAATTTGTCCCCATTCCCTGGGTTCTGAATATTGGTTATGGACTCTAGTATTTCTAGTCATTTCTTTTTCAACCTGGGAATGCCAGTTTTTGCAAGTGTTAAATTTCCTGTAGAAGTGTTTGTCACTTATCTCCACAACAAGCAGGTAACAGGCTTGGTTGTTGGACTGCAGTTTGGGTGGCGTGAGGACCTGGCCACCTCATCTGTTGATGTTCTTGTTCCTGTCATTTTGTCCTTCCCATGTGCAGGCTCTCTGATGATTACGCTGCTCCTTCTACGTGGGGAAAAAAAATTAATTCAGTAATTTTTATATAACAGCTTTTATTGAAGTATCAGTCATATACTGTACAGTTCACCCTTTTAAATAATGATTCAGCGGCTGTGAGTCTATTCACCATAACCTACTTTCAGAGCATCTTCATCTCCCCGAGGAGAAACTCCGTGCTCACCATGTGAACAGCCCCGCCCCCGCCCCAGCCCCAGCCTCACCCCAGCCCCAGGCAAGCACTACTTTGTTTTCTCTTCTTAGAGTTGCCTGTGTTCAACATTTCGTATAAACACGCTGTGTCCTTCTGTGACAGGCTGCTTTGATTTGGCATGTTTCCCAGGTTCATCCGTGTTGTAAAATATATCAGTACTTCCTTACTTTTTATCACTTTCAGGCCATATCTAAGAAACCATTGCTTATTCCAAGGTCCTGAAGAGGTACACCTATGTTTTCTTATCATTTTATGAAGTCAGGCCTTAAATTTCATCTGTGGTCCACTTTGATTTCATCATTGCATGAGATAGGGGTCCCATTTCATTCGTTTTTCTTGCAGGGATCCAGTTGTCCCTGTAGAAATAATTTGATTCCTGGCCCAGTGCTTTCCTCTATGGGAGAGCATTTTCATTTGCCTCTGCCATGCGTAGGGAAGGCATTAGCTCTCCAAAATCTGTTTATAATTTCAGGGCTTGAGATTTTTTTCAGAGCCACCCAGATAACTTGAATTCAGCCTGCAATTCATTCAAGGGCAGGTTTATATTCATTGCACTGTTACTCCGAGATCTATTCCTTGGGATTCCCCAGCTGAACTGTGGGGGTTTTGCCAGGGACCTCGTCTTTGGCATGCCGTCTGACTCCCAGCCCTCCAGAGCCGCAGAGGTGCTGTCTGGTCTCGGGGAGGCCGAAGCCATCCCCACTGCTGGCCTACGTCTCCACGTTTCCATCTTCCTCCGCATTGTGGCCCAGTCCTCACGGCGATCATAGCTCCTTCCTGCTGTAGGAAGAAGCTGTGTCTGTTTTCTCTGGCCTTCCTGACGGTCTTCCTCAGGAAGGTGAGTCTGGACCATCTAGTCCCTCATTGCCTGCCGTTACCTGCTTTGGAAAACGGGGCGGGAGGGATGGGAGGACCCCAGGAGGCCTTCCCTAACAGTGGCTCTACAACGTGACGGCGTACGTTCCACCTTGAGCCACACTGCCCTCTGCGCCCCCCGGAGAATATACCACCCTCGCGTCCGTCCGCCGGTCAGAAGGCGCACGTGGCTTTTCCCGTGGCTGCCCCAGGAGAGACTGAACAGAGCGTTTGTCTTCTTCCTGGGAGTCCTGTGCGCAGGACCTCCTGCCGCTCCGTGTGCTTGGCTCCCACACACAACTTGAGTATGCTGCACACCCACCACCTCTGTTAGCGATTTCTTTGAAGCCCCTTCACGTTTACAAAATGCTTTTCCACCATCATTATGTCCTAGAGCACAGAACGTCCACCTGAGGAAGGTGTTCGCGTGAACAGCGTCACCTTACAGGCGAGAGGCCGAGTCCCAGGGAGGTGGGTGACACAGTGGCCGGCGGGTGCCAGAGCCGGGAGTCGACCTCGTATTTTTCCCCTTCACGTTCCGCCTTCCTGTGCCGGGTCGCCTGGCACTTGGCCGTTTTCCCTTCATTCCTACTTGCTTGGTCCCAGCACCATCCCTTCAGGAAGGAGGGAAAAAGGATGAAAGAAGTAAGGAGCCTCCATTGTGATTCTGTTTTCTTGGCCTGGTCCCGCGCGGGGTGAGCTGTGTCTGTCCTGCACTCTCGGGTTCCCCTGTTCCCTAGCGGAGAAGCAAGAAGGGCCGCCCTGAGCCCTGGGCTTCCTCTTTCCCCTGTCCCTTCTTCATGACTCGCTCCGCATGAAGCTGCTGGAAGCATCGCTGGCTTCTCCGGTCTCCCTGGGACGTGGCACTGAGCTGACCGTGCAGCTCGCAAGTAGACACTTAAGAAAACCTTTCCAAGATGTCAGGCAGTGATGGAACGGAATGGTCTTACATCCTGTTTCTCCAGATGTGAGATGCACATCAGAGGCGCTCAGCTAATTGTACTAATTATACAGCGATGACTGTATTTGTCACCAGAAGCTTAACTGCAAGGATTTTTTTTTAGCATTTGCTGATATTTCTTAAAAGGGAAGTAAATAATACACGGTAAGTTACCTTCTTCTAAAGAGTTTGAATGGATTAATTTCTCGGTTTGATGTTTGTGCTTTGCTCCTGTTACGTGTAATTCCCACATAACACGTGAGAAGCTAGGAAGTCTTGATTGGAAATGACAGAGACAAAACTAGTTTCAGTCAGTCAGAGAATTTTCTTTCTTTAAAACCAGCAGAGACCAGAGAGGGTCTGGTGTCGTGTTTTCTCAGTGCTGTTATTAGATGGGCTGTCTTATCGGTATCACCTAGAAACTTAAGAAACATAGACTCCCAGTGACTCAGACTCATGAAGATTCTAAGAATCTCTTCCTTTTCGTTTTTGCCCCGTATCTCCTTGTTCAAGACCTCAAATGCTGCAGCTAGAACTGGAACAGGCCTCCCCTACTAACTCTCTCTTCCTCCTCAAAGGTAACTTTTATCCTGAATATTATCATCGAGGTATGCTTTAAAGATACTTTTTTTCACTTATGTATGTACTTATAAGTCAGAAGTGATTTTTTTGTTTGTTTGTTTAAAAATGCCCATGTACATGGCTTCAGACTGCATGTATCCTGCCCCTTGCATTTTCCACTCACTGTTTTATGTCTGCTCTGGGGTTGATGCCCATCCCCCTTCGCTGTCCTGGAACGCTTCAGTGAGCGTCCTCGTGCATGTCCCTTGGTCTCGAGTGTCATGGCTTCTCTGGCGTGGCTGACTTCAGTACGTGCGCATTTTCAACACGACTAGATCTTGACAAATGGCTTCCCAGGTTTGCTTGTGCTATTATACGTCCTCCAGCAACATACGAGAGCAAGCATTTTGTAAGTGTCCTTTCCGAGATTATATATATATACGCAGGCAAGGAGAAATGTGGATTTTAATTCCCACCCCCATAGACAAGATGTGGTGTTCCGCCTCTTGCTTTTTACACCTAAACAAAGTGTCTTGCAGATTTTTCCAATTTAGAGAACGGAGCCTTTCCTTCTGCTTTTTTTTTTTTACAGGACATACCATTTCATTGTTTAAATAGACCATAATTTTAAAAATATTCTCTGATTCATGGATATTGGGTTTGCAGACAGCTCTGTAACAATCAGCCCTGCGCGTATATCATCTCACACTTGCTAGTGTGTGGCCTGACTTCCCAGAGAGGCTGTTTGCTTGCATGAAGGTTGTAGGCGCTTGTGATTTTGATGCACAGCCACGTCACTCTGCACGGGAGGTCCGCCAGCTCAGCCTCCCAGCAGCGACGTGTCAGAGTGCCTTTCCCCCAAGCCTCGCCTGCCGTACGTAGGTCAGCAAGCTGTGGGGAGCTCGCCAGTGTGATGGGGAAGGGCGGATCTCCCTCTAGTTGAATTTGCATTTCCTATGGTCTTGAATGAGCTACTTAGCTCCTCTGTGCCTCCGTTTTCTCCTCTGTGCAATGGGAGGGAGGGTCATAATGGTGCCTGCCTCTCTGACTTGTCGTGAGGATAAAGTAATAAGATAGAAACATTTAGAAGAGCACCTAGCACGCAGTGGACACATATGTAAGCATAAGCTACTTCACTATGTTATTTGGTTCTTGTTATCACTATGCTACCGCTTCTAGGTCTCAATAAACTCACAAGCTCCGGCTGAAAACACTTTGAAAACCAAGATGACAGTGGGATGTGTTAGGGGCCAGAGCTAGGGGTGTCCACAGCACGGCCTCCCACCCTCCTGGACCAGGACCACAAGGACGCCTATTGTGTGTCCCCTGGAGGACATCCCCGAACTTGGCTTCCTTGCCCGAAGCCTTCGTATTGTTCCCACACCCCCAGGGCGCCGGGGAAGGGGTTGGCGGGTGGGCGTAGGCTCGTGGTGTCACTGAGGCTCCTTGAAGTTTCAACCATTACGCCAGGCCGCGTACGCCCCTACGATGTGGCTGGTTTGTTCCCCACCCTCTGCGGTGGGCACCCCTGCCTCCCGCCACCCTGCCAGCCAGGAGGCAGCCTGGTCACTTCTTTCCTGCAAAGGGCTCTTACCCTGTGCGGACATAGCGTGTCCAGGTTTCTTTGCATCCTCATCCTCTGATTGAAAAACTGCTCTGATTTTTTAATTATACCTACCTCGTTTTATCTGTCAAGAGTACACAGTCACCAGAATGGAGACACCTGTCCTTCTTTACTTCATCAGCGTTCCTGCCAGACGTACACCCACTGTACTAGTTCTCTCAAAAAGCCGAATTTAGGCTCTTGGTTTTTGTCTGTAGTACTATCGCATTCTATTTTCAGTTCTCCTCTTCACTCTTACTTTCTTTTGGCTTAATTTGTTGTAATTATGCCAACTTCTTGGAGTTTATGCTTAGATAATTGTTTCTTAGTCCTTTTCTTATAAACACACATTCATTTAAAGCTATCCATTGCCGGGGCGCCTGGGTGGTTCAGTTGGTTAAGCGACTGCCTTCGGCTCAGGTCATGATCCTGGAGTCCCGGGATCGAGTCCCGCATCGGGTTCCAGGCTCAGCGAGGAGCCTGCTTCTCCCTCTGGCCCTCCCCCCTCTCATGTACTCTCTCTCTCTCATTCTCGCTCTCTCAAATAAATAAATAAATCTTAAAAAAAAAAAAAAAAGCGGGCGCCTGGGTGGCTCAGATGGTTAAGCGTCTGCCTTCGGCTCAGGTCGTGATCCCAGGGTCCTGGGATCGAGTCCCGCGTCGGGCTCCCGGCTCGGCGGGGAGCCTGCTTCTCCCTCTGACCCTTGCACCTCTCATGCTGTTCCTCTCTCGCTCTCTAAAAAATAAATAAAATCTTTAAAAAAAAAAAAAGCTATCCATTGCCCCTGAGCACAGTCTTAGCTGTGTCCTGTAAGTTCTGATGTTTGTGTTTTTATTGTCATTCAGTTCAAAATATTTCCTAGAATCTGTTGTGATTCTTTTTTTGACTAATGGTTCATTTGGGATATATTGCTCACTTTCCAAATATTCAGGTTTTTAAAAATAATCTATTTGCCTTTAGTTTCTAGTTTAAATTCACCATAGTCAGAACTTGATATGATTTCACATCATAGGAAGTTGCAGACTTGACTTGTTGCTCAACATGTAGTCAGGGTGGGTAAATGCTCCTGTGCACACTGAGGGTCATGCATGTTGCAGTTGCTGGGTGCACACGCACATGTCTACGTGGGTTTATCAGATCAGTTATTAACTGTCATCTTGAGATCTTCTACTAATTCATTTTGTCAGCTAATCGAAGCGAGAGATGTGGTCATATCTACCTCTTTGATTATGGATTTATCTGTCTTTCTATTTTTGTCAGTTCTTGTTCAATTTGTTTTGAGGCTTTGTTATTGGTTGCATACAGAGTTTAAATGGCGATACCTTACTGGTAGGTGAAACCTTTTCAAGAATATGAAATGTCCCTGTTTATGTCAGAGTTTTTTGCCTCCGAGAATGACTCTGATTAATCCACAGATGAATTATCTTCCTTCAGAGTGCCTTTTGATGAGACAAAATTGTTAATTCTGAGATCCATTACATCAGTCTTTGCTTTTATAGTCAATGCTTTTTGCGTTCTGTCCGTAAAACCTTATCATATTCCATTCACCAAGATAGCACCTGTGTCTTCTTCCAGATCTTTATGGCTCTGTCTTTATGGACAGGTCTCTGATTCATACAATTGGTTTTGTGTATAGGATGGAATGGAGGGGTCAAAATTGATTTTCTTCCATATGGGTAGTCAATTGGTTCAGTCCCATTGATGACCCGAATTGCCTTGATTGGAAATCCATCAGTCAAACACATGTGAGTCCATCTCTGGGCCCCTGTCTGCTTCACGAGTCTGCGTCTACATGGCCTTGCCAATGCCACATTGTCTGATGGCTGCAGCTTTACAGAGAGTCTTGAAATCAGCCAACCTGTGCGTTCTAACTTTGTCCTATTTTTTTCCAAATGATTTAAAGCTTTGAAATGACAGTTTTCTGTCAAATAAGTCCATGCTGTCATCATGGCCTGTTATGTCATCTTGTCAAGCCCACATCTTTATGACTGAAGTAGATTTTTTTTTTCCAAATTAAAGAACTACTGTCATCAGAGGGACAGCCCTTATTTATCTTGGTGATAGCGTGCTGCAGTGACAGACAGTGAATGAAGGGTCTGGAAATCTGGAAGAGAGTCCTGGAAGGCTTCTAACTCATCAGGATGTTTGGGGTCAGCAAACTCTTTCCCATTTATCGGATGGAAATACTACTGAACAGAATTATCAGAAAGGAAGAATGAAAAAGTTACACAAATGTGCTGTTAGAACTATAATAAACTGTTGGAATATTAGTGGTTTATTAATATCACCCCATAGGATTCCTTTTGTAAAAACCCTAGAACAACTATCTAACATGAACTGTTTTGTAAAACAGGGGCCAAGTCTTTGTTAATATAAACTGCTGTTATCCCGTTATAAGTGTGGCTTTAATGTAAGAGCTAACAATCTTCAAAGTGAGTCACACACAGCCTTTGTCCGGCGTGGAGAGCAGGAGGGCTGTGTGTGGCCGGCACCTGACTGGACCCACGCTTCTTCGAGAATCACGGCCAGATTTGTTGCTCTTCCTTCGGTCTGCAACTTCCATTACCAGCAGCTCTTGCCAAAATTAACTGACTCCATGTGTGCACGCGCATGCATGTGTGTGTGTGTGTGTGTGTGTGTGTACAGATGCTGAAAACACGGGCCATTTTGTAGGGGTTAGTCAGAAGACAGCAGCCAATATTCCCAGAAACGGAGTGGTCAGGTTTCCTTAAAAAATGTGCAGAGATTGTGTTTCTGGCAATGAGGGCTCAAGTTAAAAAGCAAACAAAAATACCACAGAATATATAACAATTTGTTTTTTGAAGGATTTGTGATTCCGAATTTGGATCCAGTTCTCTTAAATACACGTTGAGCTTCTCATGGAACACGGCTCTTTAATATATATATATATATATATATACACACATACACACACATTATATATAAATACAGAGTCTTCATTTGCAGCTATTCAAAGAATTTGGGTGATAAACCCTTTATTGATTACTTCCAAATTAACTCAGTGGGGGCAATTTGGCAATGAATAGAGATCAGAGGAGAAAGACAGTTTCATGAAAGTCACCTGAAATAATCCAACCAGCTGGTGGATGAAACGCATGGAAGTAAAGACGGGCTTACACGCCTCGATGTTTTCAACAATGCCTTTCTCTGTGCCCAGGATGTCATCATGTCTCAGTCTGGGGGAAGAGAAATTGTCCCCCATTGTGGGGATGGCAGGGATAAGCCCCAGCCTGGCCCCAGGTGTGTCTGGGTCTCTGTGGGCTGCCGAATGCCCGTCTCTTCCCTAGGTACCGTGGGAGACACTGCCCTCTGCGTAAGGAGTTGAAAGTCAGGCGGGGGGACATCCGTAGAGAACAAAATGTATCCTTTATCTGTGTACAGAATTCTAAGCGTACAGATACATGGGTTGGGTTTATTAGGGAAGACTTCTCAGGGAAGTCGAGGACGCGGCTTCGCTTCGATGGCCAGGTCACCTCATCTGGCCACTTCAGGGAGTCCGCCATTCCTTGAACCTCTGTTTGCGGGCAGATCGGGCACTGATGTGGAACAGGGGAGAGAGAAAGAGATATTCCAGTGACCAGGAGAGGGCGAGGAAGTTTGCCCAGGTGCCGCAGGCATGGCTCTTAGCTGCATGCTCTTTTTTCCTTTTTTCACTTTCTTTCCTTCAAGGATTTCAGAAATTGATGCAGAGGACTGGGGGAAAGTTGTGCTGAGGCTTTACTTATTTGACGTGTTGGCCTGGTTTCTTTTGCTCTGGATTTCATTCCTTCATTCATCTTTCTTTCCTGGAGAAAATGTCAAGTCCAGTTTGGTTCCTTGTTCCCTCCTTTTTCTCTTTAATCACACTGTTTAGGTTGCTGTTATGTGCTAGACTTTGGGAATGCCCACATAAGCAAGGCGTATCCCTGTCTCTGAAAGCAAGCCCAGCCGAAGAGAAGAAAGAGACCGGTGGGCGTATAGGGCACGTGAGGATCATGTGGCCGGCTGTGGCCAAGGGCAGAGGGAGCTGAGCCGTGCACCACCAGGGGGACAGAGCCCTCTTCCAGGGCACACGAGACAGAGGCTGAGGTTTGCAGGACAAGCCCCATCCAGCAAGCCCAATCCATCCCTGAAGCCCCGGTTCACATGACTCGCCCACCCTTAAAAAAAGAAAGAAGGAAAGAGGACAGCTGCTTTTTGAAGAAAAGCCTTTGCCAGAGAGAGGTTTCTGCAGGTTATGTCTTCTGGTGCGAGATGAGGGGCTTATAAGTTTCTGGTTTGTTTGCATGATTGTTGTGTGACGCGTTCTCTGTTTAAGGCTGTCGTCACGGGAAAGGGGCGCACGCGTGCTTCATGCCTGCTCTGGGAGAAGCTGGGCTGGACCCCTCACGTTTCGTGATCCTGCTTTCCACGGTGGCCCAGAGGCCTTGTTTTGTGCGTGTTCTGGACGAGGACGTCAGGCCCAAGTCTGCATCGCTCAGCCTCACCTGTGGAGGAGGCTGTAGAATTAGGGTTGAAACCCCATTTCTGTTCGACACAAGAGGCCAGGAGATTCCCTGTGTCGTCCTCTTTCCCTAGAGAAAAGACAGACTCTTGTCCTTAGATCAAATAAGAGTTTGCCTCCTCACCTAAAGATCTGATAACGCCACGGGGGAGGCGTGGGAATAGAGGCCGGACACAGAGCAATAGGAGTGGAGTCGGCGTGGACAGAGACTCAGGCGTCCGGAAGGCCCAGGTCACTGGGTGGATGTCACTCTGATGACGCTTTCCCTCCTCAGAATCGACAGGGAGAACAACGTGGCAGCAAGCTCTCTGGGCTTTTCTTTCTTTTCCCTTTGTCCTGTTTTAGTCTCAAATGTGGACTTTGCTCTGTAGCTTTTTCATAAAACAGCTGAGCAGCAAAATGGCTGCAAACACCGTCCTGGGCTCCCGTCAGTTCCTGGCGTTAATCCCAACAGCGGTGCCAGCTGAGTGACTTTGGGCACGTCTGCCGAGATCGTATTGCAAAGCTGCTACCCAGGTATCTGGGACTTCAGCATTTCAGTTCTGCCCCGAAGACGCAAGGGTTGGACGCAGCTTTGTTCCAAAAAGAAGAGAAGACATTTTGAAGGAACTGCCTAACTTCTCCCTTGCTAACATGCACATTCCGCCGACCCGGATCCCGCTCTGTCCTGTTCACTGCACATCCCCAGTGATCAGAACCACTTCTGCTCAGGGCAGGAGCTCAGTGGGGACAGTGGAGACAGTGGGTGACCTTGGAGGCGCTATGAGCATCAGCAGGGCCAAGGATCACTACCTACGTGCCGTGGACCCCCCACACCTGTCAGTCTAGGGCGGGATCGTTTCTGAGCCCTCGGCATCAGTGGTGAGGACCCTCAGTGGTGACGGTGTTGGGGACCAGAGCAGCTATACATGCCAGGTGTTGGCTTAGGCACTTTGCATAGAGGGTCTCATTTTCCCTGGATGTCACCATCCTGACATAGCAGGACAGGTCATCCGGACACCCCTTCCTTTGCTGGTGAGGAAACGGAGGCTCAGCAAGGTTGGGCCTTTGAACCAGCCGCTGATGTTCTGGCCTCGCCTTTCACTGAGGAGGCAGAACAGGCCAGACAGGAGCGTCCTCAGACTCCCGCCACCAAACACCCTGGCCTTCTCCAGATCCCACCCCCTGCCGCCTCTGGAAATTCCTCCTCTGCTCATCTCCTCTCCAGGAGCCCCTCCAGTCACCCCCACCCCCGCACCCCTCCCCTGCAGCAGAGGGGCTTCTCAGAAGTGCCCCTGCGCTGATGCGCTGCTTCTCCCTCCTCCTCCCTGCTCCTGGGAGCTGCACCCTCCTGGTTTGCCCCCACTTCCCGGGCCATTCCGGCTCATTCCTGCACCGGCCTCTCCCCTTTGGCTCTGCTCCATGTACCGACCGGCTCTGGTCCTTGTCCTGGACCTGCGTTCTGCTCTGTCTGCCCTCCCTCTGTATAGGGTACGTGAGGACTCAGCCCCTCCTGGGCTGTGAGCGAGCCTCTTCTCCCTTGACTGCCTAGTTTAGTTCCAGCCCTGCCTGGAAGCTTGCTTTGCTCCGCACTCACCTGCCTCGCCTCTCCCCCTCCCGCTGCTTCTGTCTGCCTCCTCCTTCTGAATGGCAGCACCCAGCTGCCTAGGAGGTGGTGCTTCCCTCCTGCTCCGCCTATTCTTCTCCAGAATCCTCCGCATGCCGCTGGTTCGCTCCCTCCTCCGTTGCCCCAGCGCGCACTGCCCCCCTCTGTCCCCCGGGCCACTACAGGACGGCCTGATTCCTTCCCTTCTAGTTCTTGTCTGCTGTCCTCCCTCAACGGCGCCAGTGCTGTCTGCGGCTTCTGACAGTGGCGTGCCCCTCATGTCTCAGGCACTGTCTCAGGCCACGTACGTCCCACAGGTAGGACCACTGCGTCTGCTCTGCAGGCGGGAGGACTGGAGCACAGAGCAGTTAATTAAATTTGCCCAAGGTGAAGACCGGGGTGAAAGTCCAGGCGGTAGAGCTCTGCAGCCCGTCCTCCTGGCTTCTGCACTGTACCACCTCCCAGAAAGTCACTCCTGTTGCTCCAGGGCTCGAGCTGCTCACCGGGCCTGTGTGACCCTCCTGGTGGCCTGCCCCTGCCTCCTGCCCCACGGTGCCAGGTGGTATCCTTAAACACTTCATGTCCACCACAGGGCCTTTGCACCAGCTGGCCCCTCTGCCTGGAAGCCTTTTCCACTGGGTCCTCATGTGGCTGCGTCCTTCTGGGCATTTGGCGCCCAGCCTACCTGTCATCCCAGTGAGGCCTCTTGATCCTGTCAATTAGCCATTCCCTGTTCCTTAAACACAACCTTCCAGTCTTTGTAGCACTTACTGCTGTCTTACTTTACCTTCGTGCTTGGATGGTACTGCTCACTGTGATATCTAACTTACACTGGAATGCAGGCCCCATGAAAGCGAGGTGTTGCGTTCTCCCCGTATCCTGAAACTTGTGTCAGTACCGGGATCGGAGAGACATTTGGTGAGTGAACGCGTGAGCTAGTGAATGAAGGAGCACCTGGCATCTTGGGATTTAAACCAGGTGCTTTTGAGCCCACAGATTTTCCCACCACACCGTATGCCTGCCGGTTCATGCCGGCTTCGGCCTCCGAGAGCCCTCAAGCATGTCTGCACTTCTTGTAGGTGATCCGAGACGTCTACAGCGGCTGCAGCGGGCCGGCGGATTTAGAAGGTCCTCCCCCCTCGATCTCTCCAGTGCACAAGACAGAGCTAGAGAAGGTAAGGGCGTCTTTCTTCCCAGGAATAGTGCCCTTGCAGCTGATTTAGGCCTCCCTCAATGTTCTGATAACGTTCTCTGAGAGAATTATTGTGTCTGTTCTTGTTTTAGTCCGCGTTCTCCAGGAAGCAGAACTGATAGGGCATGTGTGTGTGTCTGTGTTATCAAGTACATACAATTAGGTGTAAAATGTTAAATACATTGCAAAGTTATGTAAGTATGTATACAGATACACGCAAGTACACATATATATACACATACAAAGAGATGTATTTTTTTAAAGATTTTATTTATTTATTAGAGAGAGCAGGAGCAGGGTGAGGGGCAGAGGGAGAACCATACTCTCCACTGAGCAGGGAGCCTGATGTGGGACTGATCCTAGGACCCCGGGATCATGACCTGAGCCGAAGGCAGACGCTTAACCGACTGAGCCACCCAGGCTCCCCTGAAGAGATTTATTATAAGGAATTGGCTTATGTGATGATGGGGGCTGGCAAGTCTGAAATCTACCCTGTAGGTCTGCGCTGGAGACCCAGGGGAGCCGATGGTGCAGAGGAAGTCTGCAGGCATCTTCTGGAGAATCCCCTCTTGTGGGGGAAGGCGGGTCTTTTTGTTCTAGCCTTTGCCTGATTGGGTGAGGCCCACCGCGTTGTAGCAGGCAGCCTGCTTACTCGCAGTCCACTGATTTCAGGCCCATCTTCCTTCTGCAGACAGTTTAAAGCAGCACAGCCCTTGGCGTCTCGCACAAGAGTCTTCGCTGTGTCTCTGTTACCTGAGAAGAGACTCCCAGAAGTTGGTTTACTAGACGAAATGGTAGAAATATCTCTTAGGATTTTGATTCGTGCTGCTGAGCACACCGCTTTCCAGGCAGGCTGCCCCCATACCTCTTTGCTGAGCACGTCAGGGCTCCCGTTCCCCACGGGCACTGGCCATTTTGATCTCTCGCCTCTAAGGCTGTCCTGTTAGCGCCCGGCCAGGCTCCGTGGCGGTGGGCTATGATGTGCGGGACCGGGAGGGGTGAGTTCAAGTCCACCTCCTCCACCCTGATGCCACAGTTCTCCCACTGGAACGGAGGATTCCAGCTCTAAGCAGCATCTCTTCTTCAGATGCCAGCTCAGGGTCCTGCTCCCTGTATCCAGATATCGGGGCTAAAGTAATCCCAAGCACTCGGGCGTGCCCTTGGACGGTGTCGACCGTAGCTTGTCCCTGCGTATACATTCGGAGGGTGTCTGTTACAGCAGATGTCTGACCTCACCCAATTACTGGTTGGCAACGGGAGGGAATTGAGCGGATGATGGCCTCTCTGCTTCTGGAAGGATAACATGGCTTGGTGAGGGGCATATTTTTTGTAATCTTAATATTTTTTCAAAATTACTTGCAAGTAAAAGTGATTTGGATGCGATGAGGCACCAGAGTGTGTGTCATGTTCTCCATTCCTCTGCTGTTCCTGAAGCTTTATCTGCAAGCCGGCCGGCCGCTGGTCTGTACCTGAGCCCTGGCCTCCCAGCGCTGCCGCGGACTTGGCCACACTTCCTTCCACTGTGGGGACCACTGGGGACTGATCCCTGAGACATCACGCGGCCAGTGCGAACCATGGTGAGAATAACTTAATCCTTTTTACCCTCACAGAAGCTGTCTTCTGAGAGACCCAGCTCGGACGGGGAGGGCGTTATGGAGAATGGAGTCGCTGTGTGTGAAGGAAAAGAACAAGGTGAGTTCTACTCGTGCCCAAACCACAAACACCGAAACACAAAAACAAGAGTAAACAACAAAAATCAGCCGTGGCCAGCTCCGTGGGCTCTGATTGTGGGACAAGTCTCCTTGGAAGTTCAGTGACGTAGACGGCATGGCCCAAGTTGCACATCGGAAGTGCAGAGAAGCCCTTTTGGTTGACAGGAGCCCCACATGTCTTCACCCGCCGTCCTACTGAACCCTGGCCCCAGGCGTGGGCGCCCTGCATGTATCCTGACTGCTGGGCTCCCGGCAGCTCATTTCCTTACCTGATCTGTCACTGAAAGGAATTTGCAGTGGGGAGAGCTGGTAGTCACGTGGTAGCAGGTGTCAGAATGTCCTTCCTTTTAAGGCTGAATAACATTCTATCCTCTGGATGAACCACATTGTGTTTATCTGTCCATCCATCAGCGGACCCTTGGGTCCTCCCACGTTCTGGCCCTTGTGAATAATGCTGCTGTGAACGTGGGCTTTCGGATTTTGAATTATTTTTTTCTAAGTCAGCTTTCCGAGCATAAATTACGGCCATTTTAATGAGTATATAGTGTTCTGTAATTGTGGCTTTAACTTGCATTTCCCTAAAGACTAACGACGAACCTTTTTGATGTGCTTTTTTGCCAACCATGTATCTGATGAAATGTCTATCCAAATCTTTGCCCATAGTTTTATTGGATTTTGTTCATATTTACTGACTTCTGAGAGCTCTTGATATATTTTGAATACAAGTCCTTTATCAATGTGTCTTGCATGTAGCTTCTCCCAGTCCATGGCTTGACTTTCACTTTCCTTCCCAGGGTGTGGGCCAAGAGGAAAGTAGGATTTGCGGGTCGTGGCGGAGTTTTCTTTGTGCAGAGTTAACAGCCTATATGCTCGTGGCCCTGGGACCTTGGCTTCCCGGGGGAGCGGTCTGCCCACCCAGCTCATCTGTGCTCTCTTGCTAGAATGGAACAGACACCCCCCAGCTCTGAAATGAGGTCCCCTTCAACGAGACAGCAAGCCAGGCCACTAAGAATCTTGAAATCCAAGTAAGCTGGACTCTTGTGACATGACAAGGTTCACCCCGAAAGGTCATGGTCTCTGCCTTTGCCCGTGTGATTCCCTAATGCGGTCGTGTCGGAGTGCAATTTCTGCTCTCTCCATCGGAAGTTACTCAGGGGAAGGCATCATCTGTGTCTTCCGTGGGCACGTAATGTGTAATCAAAGCCAGGAAAGCTATCTTTAAGTTTTGCTCTGCAATAGAATAACCTACAATCTCAGGTCCCTGCTCAGACGTGGGGCGTGGCAGACACGGCCTCGGCCGGTCTCCTTCCTCATTTGCCATTTCTTCCCTGGCTCCCTGTTGGAAATCAGGTTCACAGAACGATACAGATGTCTGGAGGTCTGTGTCAGGAAACGCACCTCTATCTATAATTCCCCTGCTTCCTTTTCACAAGGAAGGTGACCCCGGGCTCACAAGTGTTCTGCTTTGCGTCTCGCAGACACTAAGTCGTTGCTGAAGGAAGTGGATAGTTTAAGTGCATCCTGGCTTCGACCTTAGCTTCTATCCTCGCTGCTCACTCTCGAGCTATTTGCCGTGAGAGAGTTCAGCACGGCTCCCCTTTCCCCAGCCACGTTGTGACTCAGATTCTCTGCGGGCTACATTGCAGTGTCTGCGCGTCCGCGCTGACGATGGTTATGGCCCTACGGATGCTGGGAGTGGGCTTTGCCTCGGTGGCCCCCGCCCTCCCTGCCTGCCCCTCACTCGTGGGGTATGACGTGTGGACCCCTGTGGCTTTCCTGCGCTCTGACTTCAGTTGAGAGTTCTGAGTTTTGGGGGTTTCTTCATAATTTTATTACATGTCCCGAATTCTGCCTTTGTGTAGTAAAATAGCAGTGACGTATTCTCAAGTTCCTCCATACTTTGGCTTTTTCTTCCAAGGAGTCCCTTGCTTCTGCTTTTGCAAAGCATTAATCAGGCTTCTTCTAGGAATTAAAAGTATGATCTCTTTTCTTTGTAGTCAGGGTCCCGCAGGTACTTTCCCAACAGGAGCAAATGCGAGTAGAATTGGAAGTAAACGTAACCTCTTTGCTTTGAGCCACGGGGAAGAACTCTGCACGCCCCGCAAGCTCTGTGAAGGGGGACCTTGAGGGCACACTGGGAGTGCCACCCTTGCCAAGCGTAGCTGGAATGGGACTGTGGTCACAGATGGTCTCACTGCTCTCTCGAAACAGCTAAGAGGGGTCATGCACGGCCGCTTTCACTTTGGTGTGGCCATGGTGCACACCCCCATGCCTGGTGGTAACTGGGGGGAAGGGGCCTTCCCGCTGAGATTGCAACGGGTTCTTGGCGCTTTCTTTGAAAAGAGGGGGTGGTGGCTGTTGGGAGAGTGTAAGGAGGGGTGGGAGTGGCCTTCCTGTGTTCCCGCTTCTGTATCACACACGAGGCCTTCACAAGACACCCCAGTCTGGGCCCTTAAACAACAGACGTTTATTTGTCATGGTTCGGCCGGCCGGGAGCCCCGGAGGGCGCTGCCATCAGAGCTGGTTGCCTGGGAGGCCTCTTCCTGGCCTGCGGACGGCCGCCTCCCCCCGCGTGTCCTCACGTCGATGGCCTTTCTTCTGTGTTCAGTCTCTTAAAAAGGACACTCATTCTGCCAGATCGGGCCCCCACCCTTACGACCTCCTGGGACCCCATCACAAATACAGCCATGCTGGGGTTAGGGCTTCAACGCAGAGATTGTGGGGGGCACCTCATCCAGTCTGGAAAAAACACTGTGTTTACCCAGAAATTTGGCATGGCTTCTTTTCTTTCAGCTGTCGTTTCTAGAGAGGCAATAAGGGTCAAAACCAAGTGACTGACCTTGGGGTGGCACTGAGTCTGTGGGGCCAGGGAACACACTGGGGCGGGGTGGGGATGTGGGCCTGCACCTGGGGTCCCGCCGGTGATAGCAGAGTGGGACAGGAAGAGAGAGAACTGCCCCACCCGCCGAGAGAGAATGAGTCATCGGTATTACAGGGGGCTTTAGGAATGAGGCCCCAGGGTTGTAATCCCACATCCCGATTCCCCTCTCTCTGAAATTATCCTGTGGCTATTTATGGTGTGTTCTTGTGCTGGGCTGAGCAGGAGGGGAAGGAATTCCTGCCTCATGACATTTTCAAAAGGGGTTATGACCCCCTGTGGGTTATAGACTGGGAGGTGGGAGTCACCCTGGAGATGGGGACACCAGGAGGGTTATTGGAGGCTGTGGAGCCCCTCTCTCATCCCACCCCACTCTGTTGTGAAGCTGCACTTGACCCTCCCAGCACCCCAGTGTCCTGTGCAGTCTGGAAAGTTGCCTTTTCCCCTTTGGCTCCAAGACTAGGCACATCATGGCCCTCGGATGATGGAATGAGTGACATGTCCCTTTGCAGAGTTGCTGTGGGAGGAAGGATCTTGCCTCCCAGTCCTGGGTGCACTCTCTGACACACCTCTGATCTCCACGAAATCCCAGAAGGGCGTCCAGAGTTGCCAGATCTTCCAGTTTCCCAAAGGAAGCCAGAAATTGTTTTGAGGCACAGTGTTTGTGAATTTGATATATTGGGCATGACTTCATAATTTAATGCCCTGCAGGCAAAAGCAGACCATAATGGGCCGAGAGTTCTGGAGAGCGCAGAGCTGCGTGCATGTCTCAGGGACGGGTGAGGGGCTGCTTAAGGGCTTCCGGGACTGGGGAAGACCCGCATCCCCCTTTCCCTCCCTCGTCCCCTCTCCGAGCTGGCCAGGGTGTGGCCGCACTGCCTCTTTCTGTTCCTCACACCCGTCCAGCTCCCCCCAGCCTCACGGCCTTTGTGTTGGCTGATGCTCTTCTTGCCCAGAAGGTTCTTCTTTGGGTTCTTCTCAGCCGCTTCCTCCTCACCCAGCTCCCGGCTCAAAGTCGCCCTCCCCCGAAGGCTTCCCCCGCCACCCAGCGCCTCTGCCGTGTCACTCCACCGTAGCTCTCTGCCCGGGCCTGGCGCCATCGGGCCGCTCCGTGTGTGCACACGTACACGTGTGTGTGGACGTGTGCGCACACCCGTGTGCATGCTCTCAGCCTACTTTAGAACAGGAGCTCCCTCAGAACACCTGTTTTTTGCTATCTTCTGTGTCAACACCAATAGCTGGCACAGAGAAGGTGCCCAATGAGTAAAAAATGAGGAAAATAAAATTGACTATGATTTATGCTTTATTTTTATTTTTTCTCAGTTAAAGTCTATCATTGAAACACACTTTCTTGTTTTCATTGTTCTTGACAGTTAAGAGGAAGAAAAGTTCCAAATCAGAGGCCAAGGGAACCGTGTCCAAAGTCACTGGGAAGAAGATCACCAAGATCATCGGCTTGGGGAAGAAAAAGCCCTCGACAGATGAGCAGACCTCATCCGCGGAGGAGGATGTCCCCACCTGCGGTAAGATGGAGGGTGCCTGGCCTCTCCTGGAGTGGCCTCTGCTTCGCGTGGGCTCGCACGCCTCAGGCTGCTGATCCTCAGAATGGTGCGAGATGTACTCCATCTTTACTGCTTATTAATAAAAGATCTCGCGGGGGTTTGACATGATCTCTGAGGTTCTTTCAAGATGAGAAACAAATTCTTTCTTTGATCCTATGAAGTGCTCCCAAATTCCTTTTAACCGTTTCTAAGCTGGGGCACACGCACGTGCCTTGGCGAGCGAAAGAAGGAGCGCGGAGCGTGTGGGGTTACAGTTGGCGCTCTCCCCTGGGCCGACACGGTAAACCAACTGTCCTGGCAGCACTGTGTCTCAGACCTCAGTTTCAAGGGCAGCCTGCTGGACCACTCCATCGTCAGTCTGTCACCTGGAGTCCTTTCCGAGCAGCTGCCCCCACCAGGACGGGGTGGGTGCCCACAACGCGGCTCCAGCCCTCCCGGGGCTTCCGCTCACATGGCAGAGACGGGTCTGAACGAGCGGTCACAGGGAGGGACATGCAGTGGGACCCGGTGACCAAGAGGAGGGAAACCAGGGCAACGGGAGCATCTCCCAGGGACCCGAGCGAGGTGGCGGTGCGGGCAGGGTGGCTGCTGGGGAGGGGTGGAGGGTGAGGTTGCACACCCGTACCGTTTCCTTGGCCACCGTGTAGCCCGTCGCGGGAGAACAGCCCTGGAAGCCGGGCGACGGGGCTTCGGCCTCTATTAGGAATTGAGGATGGGCTGTAGGTGCCCCACGTCCTGCCAGCAGGTCCCTGGTCGCTTCCCTCTGCGGACTCACTCTGCTCACCCCTGTGTGGCGGTGAGCATCCACCTGCCCAGGGGATGGGCCTTATCTGGGGCTACGCTGCCCCAAGTGTCCAAAGTTGGTCATACAGACATTGATGAAGTAATTCACCAGCCGTCATGTCCCAGGATGTGAGCTGTGCCAGGACAACAGAAGAGTCGGCACTGCGGCGGGCAGAGGGGGTGGGTCGCAGAGGGGATGGGTGCCCGGGCATGCAGGAGCCAGGCGTGGGCTGCGCCCTGAGGGCAGGTCTGGGGGAGGTCCCAGCTCCCTCTGGCCTTGACGGTTGTGCTTCTAGGAAGCCCCACGCGAGACTTCAGTGGGCCCGGTAGAGTTACGTCCTTGGTCGAGCCTTGGCCACCCTGGGGGGGGGGGGGTGCACTGAGGGGCAGAACGACAGCAGACCACACAAAGCTCTAGCACCAAGCAGCAGAAGGAAAAACATGAATCTGCTGATGCCAAGGTGCAATTTCCTGTCCGCCTCTGCCTTCCTTGGTGCAGCAAGAAGCACTGGGTGGCGTGGGGTTGTTTCTCCTTCTGGGTTGGCCCTGCAGAAGAGTTAGGGATTAAAAATGGAAAGAGGGAATTATCCAACAAAGGGAACAACTTTTTTAGCTTCGTTTTTGGCTTTTTTTTTTAGGTTTATTTATTTGAGAGAATGCGTGCATGAGCGGGAGAGGGGCAGAGGGAGAGGGAGAGAGGCTCTCTGGCAGACTCCCTGCTGAGTGTGGAGCCTGGCATGGAGCTCAATCTTAGGACCCTGAGATCATGACCTGAGCCAAAAACCAAGAGTCAGACACTTAACCGACTGAGCCATCCAGGAGCCCCTCGTTTTTGTCGTTTAAACTGCTCTAGGTCAGTGGAAGAAGTAGAAATTCTTTCATGAAAAACAACATTCATGTGGAAGGCAAGGTAGACACTGGTGTCCAGACCTTCGTTACAAACCAGAACACTGAGCCCCACAAGCTGACCCAGCTCTGCCCCTCCTTCTGCATCTGCCCTCTCATAACCCCCCATAAACAGCCTCCCTGTGTTGGTGCTCAGGCCCTGCAGAAAATCCTGTTGCTGGCACTTTCTCAGAAACACAGTTGGCCACTCCGAGGGCAGGAAGAGGGGAATCTGGAGCCTATAATTACACATGTGTGGATTTCTACCAAACAGCTCAGGGGACATCTTTTGTCTCTATTAAGAGAACTTCCTCTGTCCACAAGATTTTAAGACTGTCATCTAGGTCTTCGCTGGGTCCAGGGGCCAGAGAAGGGGCAGAGGAAGGACGGGGGAGATGACTGTTCTCAGTGATTCTGGTACAGCTGCAAAGTTGTAGGCAGAAAATGTCAGCTGGGTAAAGGCGCGAGACCCCCGCCGTGCCAAGCTGGGGCCATGCAGCCCCGGTCCCCGTGCTGTGAGCAGAGCCCCGCGGGCCGGGCCGGAGGGGCCATGCTGCTAGGCAGGCAGAAGAGAGCTCCCAGGAGCAACCGAGACCTGGGTTCAAATCCACTCTTCCCTGCAATGTGGCAGCTGGGACTCCAGATGCATGATAAAAATCCTGTTGGGGGTAGGAGATGGTTTCTGCAGACACCCCCAAGGGGAGCGGGGAGGGGCAGTGAGCCCCCCAGCCAGCCGACCGGGTCAGCCCAGCCAGCCCCGTGGCGCCGCTCCTTCCTGCCCCGACGCCCAGCGTGATGGGGGCGTCAGCTGGGTGAGCGCTGCGCACAGCCACAGGCATGCCGTGGTCTGCGATGTGCACCAGGCCCCAGAAGGATCTTCTGTTTGCCCTTCCCTGGTGCCCATGAGTGTCTCTACAAACCCAGCGGTTGTTGTCAGGAAACACGTGTCCTCTCGCTCTCTGCCCTGTCTGTCCCCTGCTGGGCCAGCGCACCAGCCTCCTGACTGGCCGCCTTCTCTGCACCCTCCAGGCCACCAGGGGTCTATGAAAACAAGGTCCTAGGCTGAAACACGAGTCTCTGTGCGGCTCAGCTCAGAGCCTCTGGCAGTCTCGTCTCAGCCCGACTCTGCAGCTCTCTCCCGCCTTCTGGGATGAGACTCAGAACTACCTTGCGCCCCAGCCGCGCCCCAACACCCATCAGCACAGGGCCTGGCAGACGAGCAGCTCAGCCCGCTCACTGGCGGAATGAATTACCTTAAGCAAATTGCATTACCTGCCTGAGCCTCAGGTTCTTCCTCTGTGAAACGGGCTCATACTTACCTTGTTTTCCTAAGGAAACTGAAAGATAAAATCATGAACACCAAGCTCAGTGCTTAATAATTAAGCCATAACTTATGCTCAGTAAGCGGTTGCTGTTGTTACTCGTTGGTTCACCTAACGTGCTTATTTTTAAGAAACCTGAGCACACGGACATAGTCCAGGCCATGTAAGGGCAGTGCAGGTGCATGGCATGGGTCCTAAGGGAGCACAGGAGCTGGGCGGAAGGAGCGCACCCAGGTCTCGGGTGGAGGTCTCCCTGAGGCAGCATAAGCTGAGCTAGCTTGAGGGCCTTGCTGGGTGATTCCAGGGCCCTCCTAGCTCGACTGTTCTGTGACTTTGTGACATTTTCGGCAGTAGCGTTTTTCAGTGGACATACAGGGAAGTTCTGTACCTCTTACCTTCTTTCACAATCTACCCAACAAAAAATCAGGCGACTTCAATCAAGGGGGCAGAAAGCGTTCTTGGTATAAGTCACCGCCCTGGGGCGTCGGCATCCTCGTTCTTGGGCACGTGCGCCTGTTGGAGGACAGGCCCCTAAGATGGTCAGATGGGGTTTGGGCACCGGGGGGACTGGGTTCGGCCGGTGGCAGCATCGTGACCTTTGGTATCCCTGGCCCCCGTCTCCCTGGGATGTCTCCTCCCAGCTGATTATAAACCGAGGCCTGCGAGTGAAACCAGCCGTCACACTGGGATGAGAGGCCTCTCAAGAGCAGGACCAGAGCCTGACAGGCAGACGCCACGTTTCCCGCCCTATAGAGGGGAACTCCGTGGACACTTCGCCCCACTTCCGCCGGCTCTTCTGCAGCTGCTTGAACTCGGGAGCAGCTGGTGCGGAGGCTATAACGGGTCTCTAACATTACTTTTACAGCTCTCATGAAACCTTGAGCCTCTTGCCATGGTTTTGCGAGAAATCTTAGAATTCAGAGCAAGAATCATCTCAAAACATCTAACTGACGTTCCCAAACTGCAAAGATACGGTATCATCTCACTTAACATGATGGGTGGGATCTAAAAAGAAATCAAATTGCATTGAAATTGTCTCATGCAGTTGGTGGAACTGCCCTGGGCGGGCGGGTGAGCCTGGCGTGGGGGATGCGGTTCTCACCAGAGGACCCCTGGAGGACCCGGCTGTCCCTGCAGTACTCAGGCTGGGCTGCACTCGGGCACCACCTGGTGGCAGCCGTGTGCTGTGGCTGAACTATGAGTCTGCACCCGCCCCATCAGAGAGTCAGGGGCATGGGAACCTAGCCTGTGACTCCAGATGCCTTCGATGGGCTGTCCGTCATTTCCCTGTGCTCCCCACCCCGAAGATGGGAATGTAAGGCCACCCCTCGCAGAGGGGAGTGAGCCTGGCACTGGAGGCCGGTTACCGTGGGCTTTCCTGTTTATAGAAATGGGCCGCTCATCCCCCTGTGACTTTCTCTTCGCTTTTCCCTTTTGGGAACTGAAAATAAATCTGAGGAAGGCATTAAGACATGGTAATTTCCTATGATGTCATGCTCTAAATAAAACGAGGGTTTGTCCAATATAATGATTCCTTTTGTGACTCAAATGTCAAGAAATTCATAGCATTGGTGACTTTGGGCTGGGTTCAGTCAGGGAAGAAGATATCCCAAGAGTGCCTTAGACTGCTCCAGGGATTAGCATCCCCCTGGTTAGTGGAGCGTGCTCGGTAGCTGCCCCCTCCACACTGCGAAGGGGTGCACCTGAGCCAGAGTGGCCCCAAGTGCCAAGTTCTCCAGTAGAAAGTCATGTGCAAGCTTACAAGGAACCTGGTCACTGTTATCGAGAAGTCGGCTATCCTCTTAGGTCTTATTGCTTAAATTCCTCAACAAAGGGGCGCCTGGGTGGCTGAGTCAGTGAAGCGTCTGCCTTCAGCTCAGGTCATGATCCCAGCGTCCTGGGATGGAGCCCTCCTTCGGGCTCCCTGCTCAGTGAGGAGCCTGCTTCTCCCTCTGCCTGCCACTCCCCCTGCTTGTGTGCTCTCTCTCTGACAAATAAATAAATAAAATCTTTTAAAAATAAAATAAAATAGCTTCAGGTCAGGCTTTGCTGGGTGGCCTGTAACAGTCACACGTCAGGAGTAACCTCCTTCCCCTGACTGGACCCCAGCCTCTCTTCTCCTCCCTACACTCCCTCCTAAACTTAGAAAATACAAGGAACTTGGGTCCCAGGCACTTGAGCCAGTGGACTGGCTTCTCCCCTTTTTCTCTTATAAATACAGCAACATAGGCCCCAGGTGAAAGCTTTTGTTCCAGGAGAAGCAGTGCACCTTGCATGTAGGGGTTATCGGTAGAATGGATGTCACGCCGAGCCAAATGAAAACTTCCACTTCATGTGTTCACCTCGGGAATTCATTGAGCAAATATTTATCTGTCATGTAGAAAGCATCCTTAAGCCCTGTAACTTACCTGCGTGTTCAGGGTTTTATTTTATGGGATTCCATTAGCATTTACCCATTGCTAATGACGTGTGTAAGACGCAAAAACTAAGTGTGTTAGAGACACGGAGAGAAGCAAAACGCACCCTCCTAAACCCTTTGGGCATGTGTGTACGTGTGCACGCATGCGTGAATTGAAGAAGTGGCTGATGACTTAAGACATCCTCATTTTATTCCTTCCTTTTTGACCTGAGTTTTCTGTGCCACGTCACTGCCTCCCTCCGTCTCAAAGGCAGGGGGCATTCTTCTCCTCAGGGTACGAGGGGCAGCCGCCCTGTGAGATTTGGTTCCCGTGCCTCGTTAGCTCACATTGTGTATGTTTGTCTGCTCATCGGTTTGTGGCAAACGAGAGCGGTCCGTTTCTCTCGTATTTGAGATTTCCTTTTTTAGAAATGACGATCACTGTTCTTACGATTCGATCCCACGTGCAGGGGTACACAGATCTCCCCAGAGCGGTAAAGGTGTCGTGCAGGGTCAGAGACATGGGGTTTCCATCCCATCTGGGTGGGCTTCACCCGTCTGACAAAATCCTCAAACTGCAGGAGCTCAGGGGCTTGTGGGGTGGGCTGTCTGCCTCGCGAGGAGCCTGCAGAGCTGGCTGAAGGCCTGTGGGGGTCCGGCTTCCACGCGCTGACTGTCTGCCCTCGGCCCCCTCGCAGGCTACCTCAACGTGCTCTCCAACAGCCGCTGGCGGGAGCGCTGGTGCCGAGTCAAGGATAACAAGCTCATCTTCCACAAGGACAGGACCGATCTCAAGACCCACATCGTTTCTATTCCTCTGCGCGGCTGTGACGTGATCCCGGGCTTGGACTCCAAACACCCCCTGACCTTCCGACTGCTTCGCAACGGACAGGAGGTGGCCGTGCTGGAGGTAAGGTGCCGCCCGTGGCCACGCTCCGAGATCCTTCCCCGGGGCACCGTGGCTTCTGGCCGTGTCCTTCCTGCCCACCGTGGTGGCCTCTGCTGGCCTTTTCTGTCTCCTCCTCCCCGGGCCGGTGCCCATTCTTACTTGGTGGAACAGGCCTCCCTGCGCCCACCCACCGCCCCCGGCTTCCTTTCCTCCGCGTGCCTTTGCGCGGAGATGAGCTACGCGACTCCATACGGCGCACTGCTTCCTAAAGGTGGCAGAAAAATAACTCGTTTTGCCCCTATGGCCCACCTGTGAATCGATGGTGTTTGTTTAATTTGCCCTTTGGAATGTTCCTCTTTACAGACGAAACAGGTGTTTTTAGATAACCCTATAGACCGTGGCTCATGTGCCAATCCCATGGAAACTGAAAGAACACCTTTAATTCTGAAGCGCCCTCAGCTTTGTGTGCATCTGTTATGTGTCTGCCTGCTTTTCTGGAACAAATTCTTCACTAAAGCAGAAAAGCAATTGAACCTGGTTTCTTAGCTATCTGCTGAAAACTGCCAATTTTACTTTCCGCCTATTACACAATTTATTTTCTGCCCACTATGAATTCAGACCTCCTTTTCTTTATCTTTTGTTCATTTACACTATGGTGACTAAGACGCAGACTCGCATGCACACTCACCTGTGTGCAAGCTCCAGGGCTGTGAACGTCCAGAGCTCGCGGACGTGGGCTGCATCAGTGGCAGAAACGAGGCTGCGTTAGATTTGCTGCACAGGCTTGGGTGCGCTCCATGACTCAGGTGTAGACCCACAGGCCAAACGACCGTGGTGCTAGATGGATAGAGAACGAGCCCGGGGCTTGGGGCCAGGATCGAGGTGGCCCATGAGGCCGTCTAGAAAGTCTTGATAGGAGATAGTTTGTTTCGGAGGCTCTTTTCACAGAAACAACTATTTTTGGCAGGGGCGGGAAAAGACTAACACTGTTCTTCATCCCATGGGCTGGTAACCTGCGAGGCTGGCCAGGATGGAAGGCGGCCGGCTGTGGACTCGCGGTCCTGGGACCGCCTGGGGTCCACACTCCTGGGCCCCCGTCCTCATTCTGCCCCCACTGGGATCACACCACGTCTTATTTTCTCCCTGGGCTTTTTGATTCACCTATAAAACGTGAGCATTGGGCCAGAGTCTGTACTTAGTAAGATTTATGCAGGCTGAAAACTGTAGGGTGGGTGCAGGGGAGACAGCTAAAAACACAAAGGAGGAAACTGTGGCCTTGATGTGAAACAAGGCAGGTCTCCTGGGCCAGCTTCAGGAGCAGCCCTGGGAGAGCGCATGGTGGGGGAGGTCTGAGTTGGCGCATGCCTGATCCCGGAAGGGAGAGAGGCAGACCCGGGGGTGGCCTGGTGAGGAAGGCACCCTTGTGCACCCGCAGCCCGCAGGCGGGAAGGGCCCCCAGTCCTTGTGAGGGAGGGCAGCCCCTTCCTCCATGTCCCGGTCATCAATCACACACACACACACACACACACACATACCTCCATGTCCCGGTCATCAATCACACACACACACACACACACACCACCCAACACACACATACCACCCAACACACACAGGCAGCCTGCCTCGCTCAGTCACGAAATGCAGTGCACCAGCCGGGAAATGTAATCTGTATGTTTTCTAAGGTCATTTTAACTTTTACTTTGAGATAATTTCAGGAAAGTCATGATGATATCAGAAATAATTTCCATGCACTCTCCATCCATATCCCCCAATAATAACATTTTCCTGTGTGGGGGGTCTCCTGCGCTCCCCCCTCCCCCATTCCTCTCCTGTGTGAAGTTTCAGAACCTTTTACAGCTGTGTTGCCCCTTTATTCCCTCAATACTTCATTGCGAATTTGCTAAAAGCAAAAGCATTCCCTTACCAAAACCAGAATATAATTATCAAAATCAGGAAATTAACATTCACACACCCCTGTAATCTGATCCATAGATCTTAACCGGCTTTTCTGAGCTGGACAGTGTCCCTTGCAGGCAGGAGGAGACCCCAGCCTGTGTGTCGCCTCAGCCGCTGTCTCTTTCTCCGGCTGGCTGGCTTCGTGGCGTGGAGACGTGCGGAGGGTACAGACCAGTTACTGCATAGATGCCCCCCAGTCTGGGCGCATCTGCTCTTTCCCTGCCTTGGGCTCCAGGTGGGCTCCCCGCCGGAGCCGGTGGTGGGTGTCACAGCGCGTCCCCCCGGCAGTCGCACCTGTCACGCCCCCCCACGGCCACTAGTGTCCACTTCTCCCCTGTGGGCAGGGTGTCTGCGTGGTTTCCCCGCTGCAAACTTACTGGGCTTTCCCTTTGTCTTTAAAAGCATCATATGGGAAGGTATGTTGAGGCCGTCTATGTAAATACCCCGTTATCACTCACAGCTGCACCTGCTAATGTTAGCGTCCATTGATGACACTTCCCTGAAACAGTCGTTATAATGACAGGTGCTAAGTAGGGACTTTGAAACCCCATCATTCCCTCTATACACATTAGTTCACATCTACTGTAAGGAAGGTTTCCCACTCCTCCCATTTAATTATTAATCCCTTTATGTATGTATACCAGTGGGGATTCAGAGAATATTGTTTTAATCAGTGATTATAATGCTCTATTGTCATGATTTACTTTGGTGGAATCATCCCAGATTTGGTCAGCAGAAGGCCCTTCAAACTCACCCCTGCAGCCTTTGCTATGTCCCTGGGATAAGACACCACGGGCCCCGCCATTCTTTGATAAGATGTTCTGGGCTCATCTTGTACCTTTCCTTGGTCCTCAGCCATTTCTCCAGAGAGCTCTTAGTGGGTTCCTCCAGGTGAGACTCAGAAATAGGTGTGTGTGCGTGTGCGTGCGTGTGTGTATTCACGCACGTGTATATGTTATGTACGTGTACATATTTGTAAACATACATATACACACATATGTGCATTCACACATCCACATCCGTATCTATTTCTGTATTAAGAACCATGAGATCATAACCAATAACCTCTAATTTCAGTTCAACATCACAGGGTTTTTTTTTCACAAGCCTATGAGAAAATTCTATAAACTATGAAGAAAACAATTAATGAGCTCTAGCGTAATTGTATCAATCCCATGTTACATAGTGTGTTAAAATACTTTTAAAAATGCTTAGACAAGGGCGCCTGGGTGGCTCAGCTGGTTAAGCGACTGCCTTCGGCTCAGGTCATGATCCTGGAGTCCCGGGATCGAGTCCCGCATCGGGCTCTCTGCTCGGCAGGGAGTCTGCTTCTCCCTCTGACCCTCCTCCCTCTCATGCTCTCTGTCTCTCATTCTCTCTGTCTCAAATAAATAAATAAAATCTTAAAAAAAAAATAAATGCTTAGACAAGGTAGTAACAGACACATCAGTATACATTTAGTCATAGATACATCGTGGCTGCAGATTTTGTTGGGGAAGGACAGAAAGACCAGTGAAGATAACACATTTGTGACTTTTATTTACCCAGGTATTCAAATGAGTTCATTTTCATTCCATGAACATTGGCTACATTCTCCCTCTGCAAGGCACATGACTGGAGTCCCTGCAGCTTGTTCTGGGGCCTCACTCAGTACTGGCTAGGAGGGATTTGTTACTAGCCAATTGTGTGAGCACATGAAAAATAGCTTCTCTCATGTTAACGGCTCTGGGAGTATTTACAGTTACATGTATTCTGATCTCTGTTCAACTTGTCAAGGCTGTAAATATAAAACCTCATTTTGGTAAACCCCTGGCCAGACTTATCAAAAAGAAAAGAGAAATGACCCAAATAAACAAAATCATGAATGAAAGAGATCACAACCAACACCAAAGAAATACAGACAATTATAAGAACATATTATGAGCAACTATATGCCAGCATTTTCTTTAAGTCTTTAAGCTAAACTTAATAGATCTTTCTGGGACACCTGGGCAGCTCAGTCGGTTAAGCGTCTTCGGCTCAGGTCATGATCCCAGGGTCCTGGGATCGAGCCCCACATCGGGCTCCCTGCTCAGGGGGGAGCCTGCTTCTCCCTCTCCCTCTGCTTCTCCCCCTGCTTGTGCTCTCTCTCTCTCTCTCTCTGACAAAAGAGTAAATAAAATCTTTAAAAAATAGATCTTTCTTTATATTGAAAATTAGTAATTTTAATGAAAATATTTTTTCTTTCACATTCCATTAACTCATGCACTTAATAGCTCAATGTGCCCTAAACTTTAAACATCATAGTCTGATGAATCAAATGTTTTGAATACCATTATATATGTAAAATTTCTGATTTTCCAAATCACGTCACAAGGATGACTTAAAAATTTAATGAACAGGATCTTAAACCCATATTTCAGACTGGCACATTCAGCAGATCAAATTTGGGGTGGGGACCGTTTCAAATATCTTAAAAATGTCATGCATGAAGCAGCTAGGGACTATAAAGCATGATTGCACTTATATACACACAGCAGATAGGAAAGAAAGTTGTACCATCTCATCAAGAGAATTAAGATTGCCATTTCAGGCCGCGTTAGGAGGCCCCAACAAGGGCCACGGGGTGGGGGACAGAGCTTGGAGCCCACAGAGGTGTGGGTCCCATGGGGTTTCTAGGTCAGGCCAGGCCCAGGTTGGAGGGGCTCCTCCTTCTGGCCAGAATTTGTTGCCAAATTAATGACGCTTTCTAGGCAACTTCCTTCAGCTGAGATTTAACTCCCTGCAGCAATTCCCACACCTCACACCCGCTGCCCTTCCCCAAAGTAATTGGACGGCACCATAGGACTCAGATTTTGTTTCCTTGGGTGGAAATCATGCCGTAACTTCCTGCATCGAGACTTAGCGTGCATGCACTATGAGCGCATCGCTCAGGCTGGGACGGCATCTCCGTGCCTCTTTATGCCCCTCACGTGCTTTCGGTTGTGTTGGCTTTGCTACTACACGGTGTCTATGCAGACGTGCGGGGAATGTGAGCCCCTTACCGTCACTTAAGTGCATGCACGCTTCTCCCTTCTCCTCCCCAGGCCTCCTCTTCTGAGGACATGGGCAGATGGATTGGGATTTTGCTGGCTGAGACGGGGTCCTCCACAGACCCCGGAGCCCTGCACTACGACTACATCGACGTGGAGACGTCTGCGAACGTCATCCAGACGGCCAAACAGACCTTCTGGTAAGACCCGTGTGAAGTGGCCCTGAAGCCAAACAACGCTCTTCTTTCACTAATTTTTTAACTTTTTGTGTGCATAGACTCAGGGGGGGAAGGAACAGCTAAAGACTCCCTTTTGTATTATGTTGACTCAAACTCTGCTGAAATATTTGTCACTTCCTCCCTCCATGTTTTCTATTGGAGCAGGGGTGGTGAACTTTTTCAGTAAAGTGCAAGACAGTAAGTATTTTTGGCTTCGGGGGCCAATCGTTTCCTGTTGAAGCTACTCACTCTGCCATCACATCCACCGACCGTGGGTGAGGGAACCCGTGTGCTGTGTTCCGACAAAACTTTATTTGCAGAAACACGCCGCAGACTGGATGGGGCCCGTGGCCTTAGATCGCTGACCCCTGTATTAAGGGGACAATTCTATGCAACAAATGATTTACATCTGCTGTAAGGAGGGCTGAATGTTCAAGGTCATCAGTCATGTACTTTTAAAACTTAAGTTGTGGTTTTATTTTCTTTAAAAGGCTAATTTGTATGAAAACATTGTTTTGAACCCTATTTCTGTAACATAATGACAACAAAGATAATGACAGCAGCAGTTCTCAAGGTTAGGTCCACAGACCCTGAGGGCATTTGAGATTCAGGCGACCCAAAAGGCCAGAACTGCTTTCGTAATAGTACCGGTCTGTAAGGCCTGTGCCCTGGGCTGTGAGGGGAGGGGCGCTGGATGAGGAGGAGGGAACTCGGGCTCCGGTCCTGCGTGGCATTTACTAAGTGGAAAGTCTGGACAAGGGATCTATAACCTTTCAGGGCCTCAGCTCCCTTTGTAGAGACCAGGCTAAGGGAGGCAGGATCTGGGGCAACATCTGGAGCTTCCTCTGGTCTCCTGTCTGCAATCCCTGGACCCCTGCTTCTGCTACCCTCATCGGCAGAGTCTGCACTTGAAGCCGAGGACAGGCGCCTGGAAACAAAGCAGGTGATTGAGTTGTCTCGTCCGCCTGTGATGATGAACATACCAGCAGCTCTGTGAGGGGGAGACCCAGTGTCCACAGCGCTGCTGGCCTGTTTACCATGAGCTCCACCATCTAGTTTGCACACGAGCGTGGCGTGCGGGGGAGTTCGAGCAATCTCCGTGTGTCTCTCGAGCAGTGCCGTAGAAGGAACATGTAGTGCTTGGCTGGGGTGCTCTGGGGTCAGCAGAGGAACATTGGCTCCTAGGAGGGCTCGAGCCCCATGTTATGCCCAGCTCAGGTGAATAGCCTTGACGACATAGATTAATGTCTGTACGACTCTTTCCAGAAAATCTCCAGTGCCACTAGAGGTTTCCTAAAGTCTAGACTCCCTGTACTGCTTATGGACTGTCCTTTGTGTCGAATCAGGGTGACATAGTCAAGTACTGACTCTTCTGTTCCTATTCATTATTTTTCCATAAACACACCCTATCCCGTCGGCCATGTGCACGTGGATTGCAGTGAACCCCCTAATCATTCAGCACACACAGTAAACGAGCACATTTAATCAAGCGGCTTTTTAAGAAATGTAATATCCATAAACCGGGTTTTGCAAAATCTCCACATCTAGAGCAACATGAAAGAAAGGAGTTTGTGGTTTTTAACTGCTCCTTTGGAACTTTATTAGATCATGGAGCCCCTCCTCATGCACGTGTGTCTTCAGCTGTAATCAGCCAACTAATAACCACACATTAGAGCAGCCCAAATAACAGGATTTCCCCTAGAACAAAACTCAGCCTCCGCTTTCCAGATGAGTATTAATCTAAACCAAATGTGGGAAGGTCCTGGTTTTGAGAACGGAGCATAGATTGCAGTATTGAAAAATTATTTATTAAAAATACATGCGTAAGGAGTTTTCGGCCACAGGAATTTTTGCTACTAATTAAAATCTTTATAAATGTTAGTTAGCAATAAAGGTTATTTTCGTTTTCCAGTTCTCTAGCTAAACGTGTATAAGACTTGAGAGAAGAGCTTTAACAAGCAAATGATGTTCAAAATATAAAATATGGCAGCTTGCCAGCGTAATAAATGTCCTGAGATTAAATTAATTTTTGCTTTTATGCAAATTGGCAGCTGGTTAATGAATCCTTTCAAGGTCGTCAGGGGGAAGTGTCTGTGTGCTGGATATGTCTGAGGGGGAGAAGACAGTGGTGTATTTTGGGAAGAAGGCAGTAAAAGAAGAAATAGTCATTTAAATTCTCCCGGGAGAAGTGTATTTAGGAATATCAATAACGGTAAACACTGGAATCTATTTTCCCAAGACCTAGCCTATTTTTAAATGAGATGCATAGATTATATGACACAAGGGAAACATTCTGAATTTTTTTTCCTGAAACTGTTTTCAAGCGGCCGTGAGCAGGCTATAGTCATAGTGGACCAGTGGACCAGTGTGGGCAGAGAGAGGGCAGCGGACAGACCAGAAGGGACCCATCAACCTGAGTCGCCTTCTCACAGGAACCCCTTAAAATGGGCATGAACCTCAAGGGTGTTGTGCTGGGTGAACGAGGCAGTAACAAGGGGACGCGTTCTGTCTGTGCACTCCTGTGGCCAATGCACAGAGGCAGGAGGCAGGTGTGGGCAGGTGCCCGGGGCGGGGCGGGGGGTGGGGAAGCGCTGGGGGTGGAGGGCCGTGCCGGCCACCCAGCCGCGTGGACGCACCTACTGCCCCAGAACCGTACACTCGGCCGTGGTAAGATGGTAGACCTTACGTTGTATTTTCACACAGTACATGTGCTTCCTCTGAGGGGCTTACGTTTTTAACGGGTGGCCTGGGCTCTCTCACTGCCTGTCCACTTTTATATGTGGTTGAAGCCTCTGCTGCACCCAGGCAGAGGACGGGGGCCTGGTCCGCAGACAGGGTCCCACGGGGACCCCTGTGTTGGGGTGTGGGTCCCTCCCCGGAAGGCCCGGGCCGCTTCCAGCTGGGGCGCCCGTTCGTCTGTGACCTCGCTCATCCTCACGCCCTGTGACGCGGAGCACCCTGCTGGTGTCCGCTCTGAGCTCCGTCCTGCCCCTCGCTGGTGGGCCCTGCTCCGTCCTGCCGTCCCTGCGCAGTGTGCACGGTGCCCCACAGCAAGCATGTGACGGCCTGTGCTGCTGGGGCTCCAGACGCCCGGGCACGGACCACCCACGGCGGGGGGTGCGGCAGCGTGCACATGGTGCCTCAGCCCCAAAACCCCTCAAACAAGACACTCACATTAGAAAAACTTAAATATATATTTTAAGACAAAAAATCCTGTTGTGGCAGAAGACTTATGTGATTAAATTTTTCTGTCTTTCCTTCTTGCATGTTTTTCTTTTTTTTTAATTTTTTTTTTTTTAAAGATTTTATTTATTTGACAGAGAGAGACACAGCGAGAGAGGGAACACAAGCGGGGGGGTGGGAGAGGGAGAAGCAGGCTTCCCGCTGAGCAGGGAGCCTGATGCAGGGATCGATCCCAGTACTCTGGGATCACGACATGAGCCGAAGGCAGACGCCCAACGACTGAGCCACCCAGGCGCCCCGCATGTTCCTTTTCTACACACTCCCTTTTCCTTACATAATTATCTGTACTGTGAGTACAGAATAATCCTGGAAGTTTTTGTCTGTTGTTAACACATGAAAGAGCCTGTGTGAGGCGGGACTGCCGTGCCCGCCTTCGCCCAGCAGAGGGCACGCCTGCACTCAGAACCGCGGGGAGAGGCCCCCTGGACTGCAGGTTCCTCTGCTTCTCCAGGGAACCAGGGGCTGGCCTCGCCCCGAGACCTCCTCGTTCCCTGTCCTGCCCTTACCAGTTTCGTTTCCTCCCATTTTTATGCATCTAGTTATCACAGAAATGTAAGACCCTGCAAAGAAACACAATTTTTTAAAAATACCATTGAGGGGGTGCGGCACCTGGGTGGCTCAGTTGGTTAAGCCTCCAGCTCTTGACTCAAGCTCGGGTCTTGATCTCAGGGTTGTGTCTGAGCCCTGCGTTGGGCTCCACACTGGGTGTGGAGCCTACATTAAAAAAAAAAAAAAGTTTATATACTTCCAGACTATTTCAGTTTAGCTATTTACTTCTTTATTTTAGTGTAGAGGAAATGCTCTCTGAGTTCTCTCTTCCCTGTTACATCTCCCACTTCTAACAAACGTAACTTCACGAGTCAGCCGTTGGCACGTCCTTGCATCCAGCACGCATTGGCCAAGAGCCTCCTGGCCAGACACTTGAGGTCCAGAACGAGCAAGGGTGACCACGGCCATGCTCTCCTGAGGCTGACGTTCTGGGGGATGAGCTAATCAGACGACACGTCAGGGGCGATGAGCAGTACACACAAGGAGCAGAAGGACAGCCAGGCGGCGCGTCGTCTCCAGCGCACATCACCACCGTCCTTGCCACAGTCCTGCAGGGCAGCTGCTCTCGGCGCCGTCCTCGGCACTCTCACCGGACAGCCCGCTTCTGCCGGGGTGCCGGCTGCTGCTTTGTCCCCCGTCACCCCCGGCCGGGCCCTGAGCGTCCAGCTGGACTCCCGGAAGGCTCCGGATTGCTTGGGGGCATCTAACGCACTTCCTTTCCCGCAGTTTCATGAACAGGCGCGGCATCTCTGCCAACCCGTACCTGGGGAGCACCGCCAACGGCTACGCGCACCCCAGCGGCACAGCGCTGCATTACGACGACGTCCCGTGCATTAACGGCTCGGTGAGTGCGCCCTGCTTACACTGGCCCGGGCTCGGGTGCGTTAGACATGGGGCGGTGGGAGCCTGCCTGTAACCCGGGACCCCCGACTTGAGGCCGGGAGCCCGAGGGCTTTCGCCATGCTCTGGGGCAGGATGAAACCTGCACGCCCTCCCTCCCGCGCTTGGTTTTGACCAGTTGTTCATCTGCATCTGCACAAGTAGGGAACCCGACGCCAGGACCCGGACTGTCGTTCAGCGTCCTGGTCATCACCTAGGTATCTCTGCACGGCCCAAAATACGAGTGAAGGGTAGCACGTTAGGGTCTGTAACTCGGACACATCCAGAGAGAGCACGCAGAGGCTATCGCCCAGCAGTCAGTGCTTGCAGAAGAGCTCAGAGAACTCACATCCCAAAGGGCGTGTTGCTGCGGCCAAGGCCATACCGCTCGCTCCCCGGGCCAGGCCCCATGCCATCCCCGGGCCACCAGGCGTGAGGCCCACCGAGTCTGCAGGCTCGTGGGGGGCTCTTGAGAAACCAGCCTACCATTGGTCCCCTGGTATTGGGTGGCCTTAAAGTGGGCATCTGTCAAAAAAATAAATAAAAACAAAAAACAAAATAAAAAAAAAATAAAATTAGAAAAAAAAAAAAGTGGGCATCTGTCAAGATCTATTTCAAAGGTTGGCATAGGATGTGTTGATTGTTGGTTTTTTCCAAACTTGAAAAGTATGTTAGATTTTTTTCTTGCTGTTTTGCTCACCCATTCTTTTCTCAGTACTTTGAGGGATATCCCCAATCAGCTCCCTGTTTTCCATGGTCATAAAATCCACACCTGCCCGAGGCAGGAACCGGGAGGCCACAGACTTCTTGGAGGAAGTGCGGGGGTCAAGCAAGGACTCCCCGGGCTCAGAAATAGAAGCAGACTGAAAAGAAGGTTTCTGTGGTCTGGGTCAGAGGTAGCCAGCCAGTTACCATGCGCTGTATGTCATGTGTCCTCAGGGTCCTGGACATCTTGTCATGGGTGTTCTTCCTTCCACCCTCTTGGGCCTGCCCTGGGGTTCCTGCCGGGATTTGTCTGCAGGCTCCTTACTGGATTGCAGAAGGGGGTTTCTCCTCATCACACAGCCCCTCCTCCCTGCCTGCCTCATCCCTACCTGCCCATCCTCTCTCCCTCCTTCCCAACTTTCTGCATGTCCCCTAGCACCTGGGCTCTGGACTAGGGATAATGGCCTTCCAGTCCAGCGGGCTGCAGGTGTGGGGGTAGGGGCGGAGGGGAGCAAGAGCAGAGCAGGAACCAGGCCTGGCAGGCTTACATGAACGTTAGGGCCCGTGCTAGGACGTGGGTGAGGGGTCAGAGCAGAGCCACTGCGCAACCCCACCCTGGCTACAAGTCCCTCAGATGGTTTCCTGTCTGAGGCTGGGGTGATCAGGGCTGGGGTGGGGGATGAGTCCTGCCCCAGTGAAAAAACGTGAGCTCCTGGCCCCCATCCCCACCGCCACCGGGGTCTCCAGAGTTTGAAGGGCTCCTGGTGCCCACCGTAGCCCCAGCCCTCCTCCCCTGAGCCCACCCACTTAGGGAAGGCCGCATGGTGACCTCTGTGAGAGCAGGATCTCGAGCGGTCTCTGTGCGTCTTCCTGGGCCCGAGCCACGTCCAGGGTGGGCCCTGGCTGCTCTGGCTTCCGTTGGTTCTGGGCGACCACAGTTCCTCTTGAGCAGCTGTTGCCCTCGTTGTAGGCCCAGCCACCAAACTCGTTCTCACGGAGCGCTCTGCTGCTCTGGGCCCTCGGCCTCTGCCACCAGCCCTGCTGGACAGACAACACACAAACCTGTCTCTGGCCCTTCCTGCCCGAAGGCCCCTTCGTGCCCCTTTTCCTGAAAGGGTTTTCTCCCTTCTTCCTTACCTTCAACACGGAAGCCGCAGGGCGGGCTGAGCGCCTGGACAAGCCCCAGGCCCACACGGGCACTACTCCCCCCACCCACCCATGCCCTAGGTGTGGGTCACGCGGGTTCAGGCCATCCCCAGGAATGAGCTTTCTTTAGTGCACCCACAGCGTCCTCTGTCTCAGAGATAAAACCCCGCCATCCTGGAAGGGCTTTGCATTTAGCAGTTGTGAGCGATTGTTTCTGCGCACGATGGCGGTGTCGAAAATGTGAGGTCCTGTGCACAGTGTCTGTGGCTCGCTGGCCTAGTGAGGGCTTCCCTGAAGCTCAGGCCTGTCTTCCCACTGTGCGCATGCACACCGGGCTCCATTTCCAGGCAGTCCCTCCTTTGCAAGGCCTCCTTTCTCAGTGTTACGAAGTTCCTACTTTCTGAGCCCAAACCTGACATTTCAGCAGTGTATCGACTTCAGTCATCCTTACCCCCAGGGTCCCCCTGATGCCAACACCAGATTGAAGTGAGTCTCCAAAAGCATCTCCTGCCATGCTTTTAATCTAGAAACCTCTACGGAGTCTCTGTTTTCTAAGCGTTCCATGTGACTTGATCCTCTGGTTTTGGGGAGGGGATTGTCCATCTAGAGCATGGAAATCACCCTGGACAGCCGTGTGCAGGTCATCCTCATGGGGCTGTCCCATCCGGGCTTGTGTGTGTGGGCCGCTGTGTTTAGATGGTAGGAGGGTCCCCATATCACAAAAATAGACACCTCTAAGGGGATGCAAAGGGACAGAAGTGCTCCTCCCGTGAGATTTCAGACCGTTCCTATTTTTGTAACAAAAGGCTGTAATTACAGTCTGGCAGAAGGAGACGCGGCCGGAAGGATATAAAAATAGGGTAAAATAAGCATAACATAGGAATTAATATTTCTCTTTTTTTTTGTAAATGCAAAGCAATTTAGAAAGACTTTTAAAATGGAAAGGGCTCTGGCTGTGGTTGGGACTTTAGGTTTTCATTTATGCTTTAAAGTCCATGCTCCGAAGTGGCCTGTAGCTATTCTAGTCCTTTGTAAAAAGGTTTCCTGCTGAGACGACGCCATTATATCAGTTACATGCCGAAAACGTCCTCTTTTCTACGATGATTGCATTTCTTTCTTCCAACGGACTGTGTTTGGGTCACTGCACTTTCTTCAGGCATCAGAGCGTGGCCCCCGGGTGCAGGCTGATGGTCACCCATGCCACCCAAGTCCCCGGTGCCTGCATGACGGACGGGGAGGCTCAGGAGGTGCTTTCTCCCCTGGGGGAGCCTGCAGCTGGGAGGCAACGCACTGTGGGGTGAGGAGCCCCGCTCTGCCTCAGTTTCCCCATGCCTCTTGAGATTCCCGTGGGAATTATATGGGTCAACAACTGTGAAGCGTCTCAAACAACATCCAGGACGTAGTCACGACTATAAATGAAAGTGCTTTGCCAGGATAGCAAGGTGCTTTCTGGGGACAGCCAGAGCTCTGGGTTTCGGGGGCCCCCGGGCTGGCAGGCCTCTTCTTACGTCATGTGGCTTCTGCTCTCTGGATTAGGACTTCCAAACTCTGGTTCTTTAAGGAAAGAAATGTCAAATCAGTTCTTTTTTTTTTTCCCCTCTGCCTTAAAAATAAAATGGAACAAAACAAAAATTTCCTAAGCCAGTTTCCCTGGGAATGATTTAAGGAAAAAAGAAACCTTTGCTGAAGTCTCTCAAGTAGAACCGTTGTCCACCTACTTGTTGTGTGTTTGTATTTGTGTGCGTTTTATCGGTACCAGTGTGGGGTACGTGCACGTGTTTTGGGGGTACTAATAATGTCTCAATATGCTAAAATCTCTGCTTTCTGTGGCCAAGAGCACTAACGACGAAGCTGTGTGTTGCAGTGGGACCCCGAAGACCGCCCTCCTGCTTCCTGTGCCAGGGGCCTGGGAGAAGAGGTGCTTTATGATCACGCGGTCCTGTACGATAACTTGCCATCTCCGAAAATCTTTGCGCGCTACCCGCCTGCTGACAGAAAGGCTTCTAGGCTGTCTCCAGACAAACTGTCCTGTAACCATTACAAATACCCTCCCTCGTGCAGTCTGCCTCCCACTAACCCCTCTTCTCTGGGGAGGGCGCCTCTCGGGCTCAGCTCTCAGGTACAGCATCTCCTTCCGTCTTGTTCTAGAATTGTCGGAATCACGGTCCTCCCGCAGGGGGTAGTCACCTTCCTGTAGCAGACGAGACTCATCAAGGGTGCGGTGGGATTTTTGCCTCAACCAGAATAGAATTTGCAAATGCAATCAACGTTGGGCTACCCAGGAGCTTATGAAGCTCCCCTAACTAGTTCGTGGCTGAAGCACTGTATTTCTTGGCCTAAATCTGGCTCTCTTTCTATTCTTGGAAAATTCCCCAGTGAATTTGGTGCGTTACATTGACTAAAGCCAAAGATTTAAAAAAAAAAGGACAGGGACAATAAAACTTTCCAGAAGGTTCATTTCTGTCACAGGTACACGAGCAATGCTGGACTCCAGGTAGTAATTGCTTTCGATCTTCACACATTAAGCAGGATTTTCAGGGTACTACAGGGTTTTTCTGTATCGAGTCTGAAAGTGGAATGCCTAAAACCGAGTAGACGGTAATGAGGATTTTGGATTATGATTGAATGATAAATAACCTTGGGGTTGAACTGCCATCTGCTCTGTACCCCACAGTTATGGCAAACAATGACGTTTCCGTGTAAATGCTAATCTTGTGTGTTCACGCACTTTCCACCAAAGAATGCTGTGTGCTTGGCACACAAATCCAAGCGCCATAGCATGAGAATACTCTGCAAACATAAAGCAGATGGGTACACTTTAAATTATACTCTTTTCCCTCCGTTTCTTGGGTAATTTTAGGAAACACCGAGTGCCTGGTAGGGTCCTAGCGTTTCACATAGTGGTGGCTTACGGCAGCTCCCCCCCGATGCATGGACTCCCCCCAACCCATGGACTCCATCAGACCACAGCACAGGATTTGTTTGTTTCTGATTTTTAACCACAGCTGCTCAGATCTCTGAAGATTCACTAAGTGAACACGTACTTACTTTTCTGTTGGCATTGAGGTTCTCTTAGGTAGAAGTCATGGAACGAAATACGCCACCTCATTCTTGGATTGTCCCCAGATTAGTTTGGAATGATCTGATATGTTGTTTCTACGTGCTTGTTTTTATTCATTTTTACTATTTTAAGTAGGAACGTGTTTGTAAGATGAGTTATAGTACGTTTAGTTTTCCTGTGCTCATTTGGTCATTCTGATAGGGCACCTGTTGTTTAATGGAGACACCTTCCAAATATTGAGGACCTACAGTATGCCACACCTGTCTGGCGTGTCACCTGACCTTTTTAGGAGTGCTCTGGGGAGGATTCGGTATCTTCATTTATTTATTTATTTTTTTTAATGAGCAAATGGAAGCTCAGAAAGTTTTAAGGACTTGCTCAGCATGTCCCAACTCATAGAGCCAGAATCTGAATGCAGGTCTGGCTCCCCAGAGCGAGGCCCACAGCAACAGCAACCGTCAACACTTGCCACCAAGCCCGACGGATGGCACAGCTAGGGTATACAGGCATTTGTCGGCTCGCCGCAAAGGGGCAGACGTGCTATTGCGTGTGTTTTAAGAACCTGTGGCTACTTCAAACCCCGTTCATACTGGTCCTGTGTTCTCCCCTTGCCTCCCTCCTCTGACCCGTCAGGGAATCAGAAGGTAGTCCTCTGTCCCGTGAGGACGTCAGTCAGCTGCAGAGCTGCTCAGCCATGCCGCTCCCCTAAAGAGCATCCCCTGGAAAGAAAAGCTGTTCACTTTTAGAAACACAGACTTTTACTAATCTCAGCCAAATGCTCTTGGATACCCAACTGCCTGTGCCAATTTCTTGGTGAGCATTTATGATCTCCCGATGGAAATCTATATAACTTTTATTGCATCCCAACTGGAGACGTCCAAGTTCCACCTACCTTGGACCTCAGTGCTAGACCCGCCTAACTTGCGCAGCAAAACCACGGCAGCTCAGTGTTTGGAAACCAGGCTGGGGTCCTACTCCCTTCATTTTTCCTGTGTGTGCTAGTTATATGAGAAAGACTCAGGGACTGAGACAATTTACTGAAAAAAAGAAGGTGTTGTTTTTTTATTATTATTATTATTGTTTGGTTTTTAATTTTCTTATGTGTTTATTTCAACAGTTGAAGGGTAAAAAGCCCCCAGTAGCTTCCAATGGGGTTCCGGGAAAAGGGAAGACTCTGAGCAGCCAGCAAAAAAAGGTGGATTCGGCAGCCGGCGTGAAGCGAACATCTTCAAGTAAGTTTATCGTTCAGCTTCTTGGCTCTGGTTTCAGGCGTGGTTTGCAGAGGTGAGGCCGTCAGAGGGGACTCTTCATCGTCACCCTTCCTCCTTGCCGGATTGAAGAAGGATGACGGTTTTTAACCCAGCCTTTATGACCATTGTATAAAGGTGCAGGGGGCCCGGGGCTTCGGGTCCCTGATCTGTTGGGGACTTAGTGACTTCTGTTGAGCCGTGTAAATGCTCTAAGCTCAGCTCCCCATGTGGGAGGTGTAGACAAGTGGCTGCTGTGGTTTCTGGGACTGGAGGAATTGAGGCGCCACACGGGCCTCCAAGCACAAGAGCAGCGTAAGGGTTGAGAAGGGGCGCGCGATCCTGCCGCGCCTTGTGGTCTGCGAGCTGATCTGGACAGACTCCCGTTCCTTCTCCAGCCTTGTGAGCAGGCAGGTGTTATCCCCTGCCCCATCGTGCAAGGGCAGAAATCCTCTCTGAGAGGCCGAGGTACCCCCATGCCTCACAGCCGGCCGGTGACGGAACCGGAGGGACGACCCGGCTTCACGCCCCGAGTCCGGCAGGGGGCTGAGCAGAGAAGCAGCAAGACGCAAGTGAGGACGCGGCCCGCCCGAGTGAGCGCCTGGTGCCCTTCCTGCCCCACAGATGGGTTCGTGTTAGGTGACAGCCCTGCACGCAGGCGTGTTTGCTTCAGCCCCGGTGGCGGGGCCCGGTCGTTCGGCCGGCCGGGCAGCTCGGACCCCGCGTGAGGCACTCAGCTTGCCGCTCGGGCTGCGCAGGCAGGCGGGCCGTTGGCGTCGAGCTGCTTTGGGCTCACGGAGAAGGCAGATCCGCAGGACTTTATGAGGTTTGGGAGCTCCTACGTGGGTTGGGAGGAGGATGTGAGTTAGACTCCGGTGATGGGTTTAATAGGATCTCTGGGGAAGTCGTGTCTACGCTTCCTGAATCTGGCGGCATGTCACCGGTAGACCAGTCTCCGCGTCAGTGAAGATGAGGCCAGCCAGCTGGCTGCAGTCAGTCACCCCTCCTTGACTTACTGGCCCGCTGGTACCGTGATGGGCATTCAGTTTGAGAGCACATGGGGATGGAGAGGCCGGCCTTACCTTGGCCACACGCACGGGCGAGCCTTGGACCTCCGCCCCGAGGGAACCTGTATTCCGTCCATGCGCTTGTCTACACTTCCCTCGTCCTCAAACATGCATTTCAAGCAGACAGGTCGGAAGCTAGTTGGATCACTTACTTTGTGATGACTTACTTTGACCTCATCTTACTGGCAAATCTTATTTCCCTGATGCAATTGGGTATCTTTATAGTCACTTAAAATTTTAGTGCCGTGCGTTTGGGGAGGGCCGGGTGGGGTAAGGAAAGAGCTCGTGCCCAAAAGCTCTGCTACGCAGAACCCGAACCTCACGGGATCTCTTCTCCATAGCTTCTCTCCCAGTTACTGTGCTCATTTCATTTCCTAGGTGATTTATTCCTTTATTTCGTGAGACCTTCTATAGGGAATCTTTATTAACTTTGGTGACATCTAATGGTGACAAAAGAGAAAAATAATTGCATTCTGTGTTTTTGCTGAATTCAGCCAGTTGCATTGTAGACTGGATGGGCTTGACTGCATGGGGACTAAAAGATGTGGATATTTATAGGTTATTACATACAGGTTTATTGGGAAAGCATCTCCAATCAGAAAGAGGTGAACAGGTTTTGGACATCGTCTATGGAACATATCCTTACCCTGGCCGCTAATAGCAGTGTTTTTGTTTCAAATTGTTCCTTTTGTTATCCCCACGCTGGGATCCTTTTAACATCATGCTCTGTGTGTGCATTTTCTGTTTGTTTTTAGTGAAGGGAGGTGCACTGGGGACAGAAGATTTTGCACCTGCCTTCATAAACACGGTTGCATCGCCATCGTGACGGTTTGCATTGCGGGATTCGGTGACTTCATCTAGGACAGGTGCTGGAAGTGGCTGGCCGTGGTCTCTGAGTGGACAGGGCTCTGGGGACTCAGCTGTCACCGACAGTGATTAGAGCTGCCAGGGAGGGTCCACCCTGCCCCAGGCATCACATGGTTTCTGAGATGGGTTTTAGGTACAAATAGCACGTTTCTTTAAACCTCAAGGTAGGCCTTCCCACTTCTGCTTTATAGAGGGTGAAGCTGAGGCTCAGGAGATTAGCTGCCGGCCCAGAGCCATGGCTGCCTGCCTGGCCCACGCCTCCACTGGGAACCCTCACCCCACGCTTCTGCCCAGTGGAAGCTCCGAAATTGGTGGGCCTCTGTCACGCCTGTGACGTCTTCATCTCTTCAAGGTCTTTTTCCAGAGAGGGTCCTTCTAACTTAGTATTATCAAGAGGCCAACATAATTAGAGGAGAGGAGCTTGGGGTGGGGATTTTAAGGTGACATCAATTAGTGGTGTGACACTGGCCAAATCTTAGAGGGGTTTCCTGAGGACTGGTTTCCTCTTCTTCACTCATTCCTTTTATTTAATGAGCAGCAGCGGCATCCCCATCTTGTGCTTGTCTCCGAGTGCTTCGTAAACACTAAGTTGACCCTCGTCACAGCCCTGAGAATGACCACGTCACAGATGAGGGAACTGAGGCACAGAGAGGCGAGGGGCCTTGCTGCAGGTCACGCGGTTGACGCGGCGAGCTGGGGCTCGGACCCAGCCGGTCGGGCCCGGACGCCGCCCTGCGAGGACTCCCCCGAGCTCTCCGTTCTTCACTCGCTCACTCAGTGGATGTCTGAGCGCTCGCTGCAGGCGGGCACCGACCGCGGCGCAGGGGACAGAGCAGAGCTGCCGTCGGGTCGGCCAGAGCCAGACTGCGTGGGCACCGGGCTCCGGGGTGGTCGTGTTACCGAAGCGTTCTGAAAAATAACAGAGAAAGAGGCGACCCTCGATGTTGATGATAGGGTGCTCATCCCAGCCCCACTGCCTCAGAGGACAGGGAGTTAAAGGGACGTCCTCATGTTCTGTTCTCATTTTCTTAACTGCACTGGGAAATTTGAACTACTCACCTTTCTACTCTGTTCAAACTGGTCCCATCCTTTTTCTTACTGAACTAGTGAAATAACCAGATTAGAGTTTCTTTCTCTGCACTGGCTGATTTTAAACAGGCTTTATGAATTAGCCTGTTATGTGGTTAAACCTAATATTCTTTTGCTGCTTTTTTCCCCCCTAAGATGCTGACCAGTACAAATATGGCAAGAACCGGGTTGAAGCCGATGCCAAGCGGTTGCAGAGTAAAGAAGAGGAGCTGCTAAAGCGGAAGGAGACCCTGCGGAACAGGCTGGCCCAGCTCCGGAAAGAGAGGAGAGACCTGAGAGCCGCCATTGAAGTGAACGCTGGTACGGGGGTGGGGGGCTGCGCTTCCAGCCGGCCTGGGTACCTCCTTGGGTTAGCGCCTCGATTTCCTCCCATTCTGCCCACGGCCTCTCACCTCAGTAAGACTGCATCTCCCCGTGTGGTGCTGCTTATCGTTTGGAAGCACTGCGGGTAAGCCCGGGGCAGGTGCCACGGCGGGGGACCGTGGAACAGGCAAGAGGAGGCCGGGACTGCCCCTCAGCCTGCTCGCCTGCTCGTGGAGCTGGCGGTCCTGGGAGCCGTCCCAGCCTCAGGTGTCAGCACAGAGATGCTCAGGAGTTTCAGGTCATGTGTCTGATGAAGCAGCTGGGGGCTTGTTGGCAGGAGGACAGTCCACAGGGACAGTAAGATTCAGGAGCCCAGGTAAGAGGTCTCTGCAGGGCAGAAGGAGCCCTCCGAGCCCCGAGAAGGGACAGTGTCTGAATTCTTGGAAGGGAGTGGGGAAATAGGCCAGGTTAGCAGAGACACTCTCAAAGGGGAAGTCAGACCGAAGGCAGCCGTCGGAGAACCGAGTCGGGACCAGAGGGGTGTCTCTGGCTCAGGCTTGTTTGTTCTTGCCGGCAGGAGCTGGGGATGTGATTCCTGGTTCTGGGGATGGACCTGTTTAATGTAGTCACCTCAGCTCAAGACTGGCTCTTATCCTGGGCAAGACCCACTCTTCAGGCTTGGATTAGGCAGGCCTCAGAGGGGTGCAGAGGACCAGGAAGGAGGAGTTGGTGCACCTGCACCAGAAACAGTCCGTCAGCGCTTCCGGTCCTTCCGGACTTTGCACCTCAGTGACTTTTATGACAGGAACTGCTTTTGGAGTTTGAAGTGTGGGAGGTTAGGTATAGGCTGAGTGGGTGGGAGATAACCCATAGGAGGGACGGGACGTGGTGTCCGGCCACCCGCAGGGGGACCAAAGGCCGAGTTAGGGACCTTCCAGGCCAACAAGACAGGAGAAGGGTTTCTTCCTTCTTCTGTTTCAAGTTTGCAGGATAGCGAAGATGCAGAGCGGTTAGACCAGCTCCCATGCTGTGAGCATTAGAGGCCAGGGCCACGCACGGAAGTCAGGCGACCCCTCGGAATCCGTCTTCCTGCATGTGCAGCGGGTACATGACCTGCCTCCTTGCGTCACTGAAACACATTTCAAATAAAAGGCATGCAGTGAGTGTGCTGTGGAGCCCTGGGGGTGCAAGCTTATTGTAGTCGACTACGGGCGAGAGAGAGAGGACTCAGGAATAGCGAGTGGGAACATCAGAACAGGGAAATAGCCAGACTTCTCAAGTCCCCAGCGCCTCTGCAGGCCATCTGGTTAGAGTCCGTGTGTTCAGGTGAGCGTACGGAGGTCCGGGCCTAGAATTCTGGGATTTGTGAGAATCAAGGGCTCCGGCTTCCAGGTCAAGTCTTCCAGCTGCGGGAGAGCGGAGTGGTCAGGAAGGGCCTCAGCTCTTGTAAAGAACAGCTGAACTTGAGTTTTGTAGAAAGGGCCCAGGTCAGGGCCGCTCAAGCCAGAGAGTTCCGCGGGGGTCCTGTGAGGGGGCGCAGTGTGTGTCCTCCGTCCCGAGACCCTCGCCCACGGCTGCAGCGACAGTGTGTCTGCGGGGTTTCAGGCAGGAAGACCCAGGTGGTTCTGGAAGACAAGCTGAAGAGGCTGGAGGAGGAGTGTAAGCAGAAGGAGGCAGAGCGCGTCAACCTAGAGCTCGAGCTGACAGAGGTCACGGAGAGCCTGAAGAAGGCCCTGGCCGGCGGGGTCACCCTGGGGCTGGCCATCGAGCCCAGGTCGGGGACGTCGAGCCCGCAGGTAAGGTCTGAGCCCGCCCAGCAAATACCCAGCCACGTGTCGGCCTCGGACGCACTCTTGGCTGTGTTCTGAGCGGCCGACGCCACATTTGCTTCTCTCCGTGCATGCAATGATGGTGGGCACATGAGCCCGTTTCCCTTCCCTCCTCCGATCCGCTGATCAGAGGCACAGCTCTTCTTATCCCTTTTGAAACATGTCCTGATTCGATTCCAGTTCATTAGCTAGAGACCTTAATCCAATGTAGCCGATTTTATTGAGACGTGCAGCACGTCCTGGGAACCCTGCCAGGGGCCGGGAAACACAGGCAGGAAACACAGAACGAGGGGGAATCACTTTCCAGCACGAATTACCACCTGCAGTGACTTAACCTTCACTCTCGTTGGACTAACGGTCACTGAGAAGTTACTGCTGTCCTTCGCTCGTGGCAATGCTATCACGGTCCCTGGGGCCTGGGGAGTCACATGTCACCGCTTCCATCTTACAAACCAGGAGGCGGAGGCCCAGAGAAGTGATGGGAAGCCACCTAAACACAGCGGCCAGCCGGGCAGCCCTGGACGCAGGCTTGGTCTCAGGGACACCCCGCAGCCCTCCGCCCCCACCTCCCTGAAATCCTGCCACCCGCCTTACACCTGTCCCGCTCGGGAACTCCAACCCCCGTCCCTCTCCACCGGCCATCCCTCGACGTTGAAGAGTCAGCTGTCGCCTGGCAGAGCTGGATCTAGCAGCAAGAACCAGACCCTGGAACACAAGCCACAGCCTGTAGGAAAGCAGGCTCGGGGGTCAGATAGGCAGGGTTTGGGGTCACCTCCCTTCCCGAGGCCTCACTTGGTCATCTGCAAAATGGGGATAATGACATTGTTGCATCTGTAACAGCTCCTGGCACAGTGTCTGGCTGAAGACGTGTGGGTTCATCATCCGTGGATTTGTTAGCTCGTGTATTCATTCGTTTGTTCATTCAACAACTTATGCATACATACCCAGGCCGTGCACCTGCGGGGTGACGGGCACTCTCCCGGGCACAGGGCACCCTCGTGGAGCCTGTGCTCTGGCAAGGGAGGAGGCTGCAGGTTACGTGAGTGTCCACGTGGATTCCCGCTGTGAGATCGGGGCGCAGGGTGGGCGGGTGTGCCGGGAGCCGGCGTGCAAGGGCTGGCCCCCCTGGCGTCTCCGCATCCTGCTTGCACAGGAACGGGCACAGTGAGGTCCGCTGTAACTGGAGGTGGGGCTTGTGCTGGAGGACATGGGCTTGTGGACCCCACGGGCCCTGGCCTCCTGCGGGGGTGGCCGCACCACCCCCTGGGGGTCTCCTGCCATCCCAGGCTCTCCTCCCCACTCTTGCCCTTCTGAGCCCTTACCCATTCTTTGGACTCTGGCCCCGCCCCCAACCCCCCGCAGCCGCCCTCCTACCTTCTACCCCTCCCCTTCCGAATTAATCTTTTAAGATTGTAGTCAGTTCCCACAGTGTCCTGTTCACCTGCTCTCTCCTCCACTCGCTGAACCGTCTTTCCCTAAGGTCACCTCCAAACTACAAGTCCCCTCCCTCACCCCTGTCTCCGATTTCAGGCATCTCTCCAAGCTACCTACTTTCTTCATCTGGTGACCCCGCATCCCCCTGGGGGTCCCCTCTCTCTAGTGGTGACCCACGTCCTCCCGGGGGTCCCCCTTTCTAGTGATGACCCCACATTCCCTCGGGGGTCCCCTCTTTCCAGGGGTGACTCCGTATCCCCCAAGGTCCCCATCTTGGGTCCCACTTGTCAGGTCTTCTCTCTTTTGGCCCAAATAGCCAAGCTTGTCCTTCCGAAGGCTTAGGACGGGTCTATTTGAGCCTCCCCACCCAGACCGTGGGGCCTGGCGGCTCCCTCTCGTGGGAGGGCCCTCCTGGGACTTGCGTTGCCATCTTCTGTCCTGGAACGGGCAGCTCCCCGCACTTCCCGCCTAGACCTCATCCCCAGAACGTGGCTCATCGGATGCGCTGCCTCGCGGACCCAGCGCGGCCTCTGCCAGAGAGGGAGAGGAGGTCTCTCCTTCCTGCCAGCAGCTCGGCCCCGCGCTCCCTCCCAGAAGCATTTCCCAGTAAACCAGAACATGGGTGAAGCTGGCTGCTTGGTGTTCAGGGTCAGCAGCCCCCGGTAGGGGCCCTAAGTGACTCACTGTCATGTTCTGCTCAACGGTGCGCCATACAACCCAGCCCGCGTCTCCGGGTCACACGCTGTGCAGCAGTGACGGCGAGTGTGGTCCCGGGGCCTCATCGGGCGGCCCGGCTCACTGCCAGTGCTCTTGCCTGTGCGGGAGCCTGCACCTTCCTGGGGGGGCCGGGGCGGGCCTTTCGCTCCACTTCAGGTCTTCAGAAAATGTCTTCCTTTGGCTTCCGGGCCCCGCATGTGCTGCAGACGGCTGGGAGCCTCAGGATCGTCGGGCTGGGGCCACGCTGCGCGGGCCACGGACCCAGAGACTTGTGCTGCCCGGTGGTCGAGGGCGGTTGCAGACATAGAGCTCTTTGTGGGCACAAAGCAGGGTGCAGAGGGTGCAAGGGGACAGGGCGGGGCCCCCTACCCACCCCGCGGCACCACTAGCCGTCCAGTCTGTCACCGACCAGTAGAAGGTGCTCCCAGAACCTGTGCTGACCACGTAGGGTCATTATTGTTACCGTTCTTGCCTGTTCCCCAAACCCATGTGTTTTCTTTAAAATGAGCAGTTGTCCCGTTGGGACACGCCGCGGGCCTGGAGACCACACCTCACACGGGGTCTTCTCTCTGCATCGACAGTCTCCAGTTTTTAGGCATCGGACTCTCGAGAGCTCACCCATGTCCAGCTGCGAGACCAGCGATGCCGAGGGCCCGGTGCCGGTGAACAGCGCGGCCGTGCTGAGGAAGAGCCAGCCGGCGGGCGGCTCCCCCTGCCGGGGGCACGTGCTGCGGAAGGCCAAGGTGAGCTTGCTGTCCCGTGGTGGGGACACCTGCCCTGCGGCAGACTGGCCACCGTGGGAGGGACAGGGGAGATGCCGTGTGCTGTCTCCCAGGTCCCCACAGTCCCAGCCTCCTTCAGGGGGCCTCCTTTTCAAAGACAAAAAGCCCGGAACCTCACGGCAAGGCGCTTACCAGGCGGTGTCAGAAGCAGCAGCTCTGGGCGCACCTGGGTTTTCCTTGCTGGAGTGGGGTTCTTCACAGAGAGTCCAGGCCTAGACTTTCCTCCAGCCCGTGCTGCCCCCCACCTTGTCAGTGGTGTTGGGGGCGCACGATGACCCCCCCCGGGCCCCTGTGGTCTCCAGGCTCCGCATGGGATTGGCCCTGACAAGCTTTGATGTAGAACTTAAAACGCTCCAAAAACTTAAAAACCATTTATAGTTATCAAAGCAAACACTTCGTGACAGTAGTAACTGCAAGCGTGTCATACAGAAAAGTCATACTTCGGAAGAATTAATTCATCAGATGAATTTAATTTGCTCTGATGGGTATGGGGGCGGGCGGCCTCCCTCCACTGCCTCCGGGCCCTGCGTGGCTGTCGTTACCTTTGTTCCCGGAGCGCTTTAGAACCGGGTCCAAACTGGCTAGAAGTCTGTGGTTCTCGCAGAGGCGGCCTCTGTCGGGGAGCACGGTGACCGGCAGCCCCGAGCGCCCTGGCGTGCTCTCGGGGTGGCCCTGGAGGCCGTGGCTGCAGACGCGTCCGAGACCTCGTGTCCTCCCCGGCACGCGCTTGAAGCCCGCGTGTATTGGCAATTGCAATTGGGGAAGGAAGGGCTGCCGCGTATTTCTGTTCCTTTTCTTGGTAGGCGTGGGGCATTCTGGGCCTGTACCTATTAGCACACGTGCGGGGGACGCGTATTGCCTGTCGGAGTCTTGGGCTAGAGCTGTCAATGCAGTCCCCCTGACCGTTTGCAGACGAGAAGGGCAGGAAAAGCGTCTCACTTACTTGGTCTCTTTCCTGTCAAGTCAGACCTACGGTTCAGCTGCTGCAGCCCCTGCACGAGCTGTGTGTCCCGCGGGTGCTCGGCGGCCACCGGCTTGGGGACTGCAGCTCCTGCCACTTCTCTGTGATAAACGCAGGGTGCGGGGTCTCGGCAGGCTCATGCATGGCGACGCCGAGGCCGGCCACACTCCCAGAGGGACCTAGCCGTCCCTGCTCGCGGGTCCAGGAACCGTGCACACAGCCTCAGGAAGGGACTCCTGAGAACAGTGACGGGACTCGCGGCTGGGGCAGGGGCGGGGCTTGGCCTCTCGGCTCTGGGACAATGGTCCCCTCGTTGATCTAATGCCCGGCTCAGATGGTGATTCCCAGACTTCCGAGCGGCCGCCGTACCGGTTCGCACACGGCCCACGGGTGCAGCCCTGTCTCCTGGCGCCTTGCGCTTTGACCCTGCCTTTCCTCTTGCCACACTTAGGAATGGGAGCTGAAGAACGGGACGTAGAGGGACGGCAGGACGCCCTGCTCGCAGCCGCCGCCGCCGCCGCCGCAGGAAGCTCCGCCCACGTGGCCACCACGCAGGACGCCAGGGTTTGTGACTGAGCCCGACACCACCAGCGCCCAGACCCTCCCGCGCGTCTTCTTGCTACTGTACTTGTCCCCTCTAAAGAAATTCACTTGTAACACTTGGGTTTCCACCTCTCTCTGTTGAGGAGCAGAAAGGGAGGTAGAGGAGTCCTTTGGCAGATGAGAAGCTGCATCTTTTTACCGAGCTCAGTGAGTGCTTTCCCCAGTGTCCCCCCGTCCCCGCCCCCGGACTGCAGGTGACCGGCCCGTGCCCCCCGCTGAGGCCCCTCGCAGGCCCCGGGGCCCCCTGCCCGTCTGCAGAGAGGGCCGGGGTCCCGAGCAGCTCGCCCTCCTTGTGTCTCGGCATCCCCTCCCCACGTGCCCGTCCCCCACGTCACCAGAGGCGGGCGCGTGAGAAACCCGAGCTGTGAAGCATCTGTTACCTTTTAACTGTCTTTTCTCTGGACAAATGCTTTTGTCACCATGACGTGAAAAGCTGCCATTCTTTTTACACTTTTTAAAAACTTCTCTTTTTTAGCGTGTGTTGCACTTAGCTCTAAGGGTTTTTCAGAGATTCTGTATCATATTTTATTATTTGTACTGCTTTTGAAAGACGGCAGAGCGTTTCTGCTGCTTCACTAGTGTGTGTCCCCACCTCCCCTTCCCCAGTGTCCCCGACCCCACCTGCCCCTCAGAACCTGCAGGTGACCCGTGGAGCATGGGTGGCCTCACCGGATGACGGTGCGACTTCCACTCACAGGAGGGCCCATCCCCAGAGAGGGAAGCAGGTTCTGGAAGTCGCTCGGCCACAGAACCATAGCATCCCGAGCAGGACAAGAGCTTCCAGTCGCTCCCTGGGCCCCCGTCCCCCGCCTGCAAAGCCAGGCCCGGAGCGCGAGTGCCCCAGGGCTGCTCCCCGGCCGGCGTGCCGAGGCCGGGTCTCCGCACCCTAGCTCTGCTGGGCCTCCAGAGGGACCCTCTCAGGGATTCTCAGCTATGGGGAGATGCAACCCCAGATGACATGAGAGTCGGTCACGCCAGGGTCCCTCTGCAGACGGATTCAGGGGCACAAGGCACACACGTGTGGGGGGCGCCTCCTGCTGAGATTCAGGAGCCTAGTGGTGCGAGCCTTTCATCCAGAAGCTTCCCTACCAACTATAGGGATAGAAGGCGAGAAATGGTCTCCGTGCTTTCCCCCGGCACGCCTCCAGAGTCCCTCCTGGGCTCGGCCCCTCTCCTGCAGGCCTTCCTTAGGCGTGGAGTCAACCAGCGTCAGTCAGGGCCCTCGGGGCCCACGTGGCTGCGTGAGATTTTGGCTGTAGAGAGGGTGAGCAGCCTCCCGCGCAGGGGACAGTTTCCAGCAGGGGGCGGGGGCTGGAGCAGAGCCCAGCAGAGACACGGGCCCCCCTCCCATGTTAGCACCCCCAGGAAATGGAGGGAGGACACCCCCCAGAGCCTCCGGGCCCATCTTCCTGGTGCTGTCGGGAGGAGTCCTGTCCTGTTGTCTGTGTGGGAAGCTCGGCCGCCTTGCATTCTACAAAGCTGATTTTCTGTAAAAGGAAACAGTTTGATCCACTGTAGATTTTTGCTGCCTTCTGGTCCAATAAGGTTTCTCAAAGTGAGGCGCTCGGGTCACCCTGCTTGACAGCCAACTTGGCCCAAGCAGCTAGCAGGTTTCGACTGTTAGGAGGGAAAACTTGAGCGGCCCGTGCCCCTGACCGCGGCCCCGCACAGCCGGGGAGACCCCAGGCAGCTCGGGGACCCTCACCCCGTGGGTTTGCGGGAGCCGGGATTTGGACCCTGGTCCTCAGACTCCGGGCGTACACGTTCCATGTCTAAAGGCCCCAGGTTTCACATTCGCTTTCCTCACCATCAGCCCTTGAAAGAGGGTCGCAAGCTTAGACGGATCCTGCTGGTTCCACCGAGCCATCGGCAGCGGGTCGTGCGGAGGGCGGGGCCGCCACCCGGGGGCTCCCACGATGTTATGTGTTCCCCTTGGTGTCTTAGATTTGATCAGAAAGTTAGGTGAAAGAATTTGCTTCAAAATAAGTTATTTATTTGTATATGTTCAATAAATAGAGTTTTTAATTTATATCTGTACATAATAGACACACACATGAGACGTCTTGTCGGGGTTCGGGCGACGATGTCCTTTCACGGCCCCGAAGCTCCCCGCCCGGCAGCCGCGGGAGGCCACCCCAGGGGGAGGAGTGCCATTCCCTTCGAGGGGCCACCTGTTCGCCGAGCGCTGGCCAGGCCGTGACAGGATGCTGACCCCAAGTGGAGGAGCGTGGTGGCCGCTCCCGGGGGCCACATCTGCCCCAGCACCAGCCCCGGGGCTCTGCCCCCGCCGTATTTGATCAGCTGTCATCAACCTTCAGATCCCCTCCAGTTTTGTGTGTTGATAATGTTTTAAAGTCACTCACCAACCTCTTGCACAGAAACAAAATGGTGGCTACGGGCTCTCTGTGTCACCTGCGGCGTGGGACGGGGGAAGCGGTCACTTTGCCCCCCTTCAGAGTCAGTAGGGGTTGGGGCAAGGCCCTCTGTGCGCATCAGACCAGCCAGCCCCTCCCTCGCCGGGCTTCCGGATGGTTCCACCGCCTAGCAACCAGTGTGGGTCTGGTGAAGGGTCCAGATGGGCGTGGATCTTTCCGGAGTCTTCTCTGGGTGACCGTGCATACGCCATGCCGTAAACCCATCCTGTCCCCCCGGTTCGCACACCTTGGTGTTGCCAAACCTGATCGTCTCCTCATTCACCTCAACTGTCCGAGTTCCAGAAACCCCAAACCACTCAGGTTGGAGATGTGCTGTCTTCTGCAAAGTGTGTGCGGGTTTGCAAGGGGCCCGGCGCGAGTCTGGGGGTGCCCGGGGGTTGCCGGCTCGCTCTCGGGAGGGACGCGGCCTCACAGCAGGCGGTGCTCTGGGTTTGCTCGCCCAGTCCTGCGACGGGCCCTCCGGAGGGTGGGCAGCGGGGTGGGTGCCCGGAGCGGGTCCCCTGGCGCCAGCGAAGACCCCTGCGGCCCAGCCCGCACGCCCCTCCCAGGCGGCCTCTCCCGGGCCGGCTGCAGTGTCCACCGCCCCCGGCTCGGCAAGGTGGCATCGCTCAGATGTTAAACTGTTGCCTTCCTCGTTTTGTTTTGTTTTTTTTTCTAAAATAATTTTTTACCGGGAAATTTTTCAAATCCGAGGCATCGTTTTAAAGAGAATCATTCTTACTCTTATTTTGTTGCTGTTGTCACTGCTGGCTCATGGCTGGGTTGATACTGTGAATACATGAAAGTAAACTGTACCCCGTGGCCCGCGGTGGGCACAGCCTCCCCCCGCGAGCGCCCCCTGCAGGCAGCTCATCTCCCGCCAAGGCCCCGGGCTGCGCGGGCTGCCTCCCTCCCTCCCTCACGCTCCGGCAGGTGTTCCTGGCTGTGACCTGTGACCGGGGTGTGGCCGGGGAAGGCCTTTCCGACATGGGATCATCAGATCGCGATTCTTAGGGACCAAAGGTGTTTTTAACAAGATAATCTTTGTATCTGGTTTTCTAACAAGAAAGGAAACAGTGACTTTAAATTTTAACACCAACTTTTAAATTATAGATATTTAGCACTCATTGACCACGGCTCTAAGTTGTAAAGTGTTTTCATATTAAGATTGTAATTATTTCCTTACTGTATTTTTAAAAAACTAAACTTGTATTTAAAATTCTCTTTGAAAGAAACAAGCAAGAAACAGCAAAGATTTTTTTTTTAATTAAATACGTTGGCGGTGCCCATTTTAAAGGACTGTAAATATATTTTCACTCTGTTTCTCAACATATTTAATTCATAGGGAACTTTTATCAAAGGAAACTTCCAATGGAAATACCAGTTTTCAGGCGTTTTGCTCCATGTTGTAGTCACTGCACCTGAATTTTCTGCTTTACTAACGGATTTTTCTACTGTTTCACGCGGTGTAGCCCGCGGACTGGCGCCCCCCGGCGTGCCTCGTTTGTGTGTTCTCAATAAAGCTGTATGCTTCCAGCCGGCCTCCTGTCTTGCTGCCTCTGGCCTTACTTTCTGCTGAGTGGGGGCACATTGTTGAGGTCACCTACCCCAGAGGCGGGGACGGGAGGTTAAGAAGGAGCAGGTGAGGGAGGAGGTGGGGGCTGTGCTTTGTTTCTCTGAGCAAGGATCTTCTTCCACCAAAGAGCCTCAGCTACCGTGTTTTCCGGTGGCTTTTAGTCCACGGACCCGAAATGTTCGCGCACCTGCTGAGGGCCAGGCTCCGGGCCAGGTGCTGGAGACAGGAGTGAATCAGATGGGACTCGCTCTCAGGCACCCCCCGGGAGCGCAGGCCCGCGTGGAGACATCCGTACCCCGGGGGAAGATGCAGCCGCCCTCAGGACGGGTGGGTGGGCCTTGCAGGAGCGGGGCCTGGAGCTAGTCACGGGTTGGAACAGGAGTTCAGCAGGGACCAGAGCAAGGCGGGCAATGGTAGGAGCAGAGGGGGGGTGGAGGCTGAGGACCAGGGCCGCTGGGGCGAAGCCGGAACACGGGTCGCGAGCGGTGGAGGTGAGTTTGGATGAGCAGCTGGGGTCAGACTGGAGGGCCCGCGTCCGGGGCTCCTCGTGTGCGTGGGATGGCCGAGCTCTGGTTTGGGGAAGACCGCTGCCGGCCGGGACCAGAATGGGTCAGAGTGACAGCCATGGCAGGCCCCTGCGGCCACACTTGCGGGCGTCCAGAGAGGCACATGCCCAGTCCGAGCTGAGCGAGCACCCCCCAGCCCCAGGGGGCTGGCCCTTCCCCCAGGGCCCTCCTTGGCCCGTCCCAGCTGAAGGAGCTTGCACAGGCAGGATCCGGCCCGAGCCACTGGGCTGGCCTGGCGTTGGCCAGAACACACGGAGGAGTGGCCCTTGGCGAGTGCCGCGTGGGTGGGGAGATCGGAGTGGGCCCACTGGACCGAGGTCTGCAGGACTCCCTGGTTATCCAGCGGGAGAGGCCAGGTCTGATCCCGGGGCAAGGTGTGTCTGTGGGGGACGTAGGGATGTCCGGGTGACCGAGTGCCCACCCAGACCCACCTTCCGGGGTCTAGGGCCAGATGGCCCTGTGGGACCCCCTCACCCCGAATTCTGTCTCCCTGTGGTGGGGGGCAGGGCTGGGCACATCACAGATGGTGAAGGGAAGCGGGCGGGGGCCTTCTCCACCCATCCTAGAGGAAGGGGGTTCTCAGCGCACCCAGTGCACTTAGAGACGCAGAAGCCGGGGGCAGGGTCTTCCCGGCCCCAACCTCAGCTGTTCAACGCGGGCAGCGGTCTCCCCAGGAGGCTTATTCAACCTGCGTTAACCCATGCCCCTCCCCAGGTCCTGAATACCGGTCACATCTTGGCGGGCTGCCGAAGGCTCGGGAACTGCCTCTTGGATTTCTAGAAGACGCCAGACTCCTACCTTTGCTTTTTCAAACCACGGAGACGACTCGGGGATATTTGTCCTGCGTATTGTGGTTTTGGGGGCCGGCGACACGAAGCCTCCCCGGCATAAGTCAGGAGCTTCCTTAATGGGAAGCGGGGAAAACATTAGCTGATGTGTGTGATCCAGAAATGTTATGATGGAAGCTTCATCAATTTTACGATGCTGTTAAAAATGGCTATCTTTTCATACAAAGGGACCAGATAGTCAAGAAGTGGGGTGGGGAATACAGGAGGGAGGCTGACCCAGGGCAGCAGGTCAAACGCTCACCTCCTGACGAGGGGGGCTGGTTCCAGCAGGTCCTGACCACCGAGAGGGCTGGTCTATCCCGGAGCTATCCACAGGGGTGGCCGGCCTCACCCCTGGACAGACAGACTGCCCTCCCAGGCCAGTTCCTAGAGATGGTGAGGGGCTCGCCCACAGGCATGACTGCACGTGTTGACCAACCATGCTGGAGCCCACCACCCAACCACCTCCAGCATGGGGCCCCCATGCTCTGGGCCACCACCCCCTTCCCTTATCCCCGCAGGACCAGGTACCAGACAACCAGGGTCACCCCTCCGGCCCAGAGCCCCCTGAAATTCTTCACACTAGCCAATCCTGTCAGCACTGCCCACCCACTCCTTCCCATGAACCTGCAATAAAGGCTCCTGTTCACACTTTCCGATCACTGCCCTCCCCACGTGGCCCACATGTGGCGTGGTGTGGCCGTCCTCTTGAGAACTGTGAGTACAACACACTTAGCTGATCCGTGGCAGCCCGCCCCTGATCTGCTGGACTCTCCATTCTGAGTAACAATAAAACCTACATTTTAAGCCATCCCAGTCCTAGGCAACGGGCAGGGACTCCGAGGTCTGCCGGTCTCCGGCTGGGATTCGGGCGCGTTCTCGGATTCCCCACCCCCACGGAGTGGGACAGGAGCACCCCTCTGGCTGGCCTGCTCCGAGAAGTCAGTGGGCTGAGGCGTGTAAATCGCAGGCACGCTCGGCCCCTGGCAGGTGCTCCTCGGCGTCTGCCCCACCCCTCCCCCAGCACCCCGGGGGCCACGAGGAGAGCCTGGCGGTCGCCCTGCTCTCCCACCACGGTGACCGGCTTCTCTCGCGCTTCAGATGGGGACGGTGAGGCTCAGGGAGAAGGGGCCCAGACTGCCGCCTCCCTTGGCAGGGGAGCCTCCATCAGCAAGGGGCTGACTACGGGGGTTGCTGCGAAGGACTTGGGAGTCCGATGCACAGAGTCCCGCCGACAGGGACTGAGCCGCTGCGGCGCTGGGGGTCCCGTACCTCCGGGGGCGGCTGACCAGCCATGGAAGGCGGGCTGAGCGAGCGAGCACAGCCTCTGGTATGACGGCTCCAGGCCCCGACATGGTTCTCAAGATAATTTTCGTCTCACAAACTCTCCTGAGCACCTTCTCAGGTTGCCCTGCTGGGCGCGGAAGCCCCTGGAAGGTTCCAGGCAGGGAAGGGGCGTGGCCTTCTCTGCATGTTTCCAAGCTCTGGCGCCCCCGTGCAGATCTGGCCAAGGGAGGTGGTGGAGGCCACGGGGAGGCCGGCTGGACTCAAGGGCAGTCACACCTGTGTCCAGCCTCGCGCCAGCCCCTCTGGGCCCGCGCACCCCTGGGTTTGGGCCTTCCCCCGCCGCCCTTGGAAGCGCCCTCCCGCCCTCGCCCCCACCCACGGGCCAGGGACCCCAGCCCCGGGGCTGCCGTGTGTGAGCTGCGCACCGCGGGACCCAGTGAAGTCATTTGGGGACCGGAGCGGCCGTTCGTGGCTGGGCCAGCGAAGGCAGCGGTGGTGGCCAGGGTGGCCCGGGGCATGTTCCCTGAGCACCCCAAATACGCGCCTCTTGAGAAACTGTGTCCGGTTCCCCTTTACGGCGGTGGGCACGTGACCCGCTGTCCCCACAGGACCGCCTCTCCCCTCCAGACCCTTGGCCTCCTCATGCCACCACGAGGACCGGTGCCTTGGGAAGGGCCAACCCCGGCGACCGCCGGCCTTAATGGACCCATAGAAGGAGGCTGACCGGCAGGGCCTCGCGCCCGCCCGCCTGGGGGGCTATAGCCTTCTGCCCCAGGACCCCGTGCCGGGGGCTCCCTCCTCCAGGCCGCCCTGTCCCGGGGCACTCCGCAAGCCGTCGTAGGAGGGGGATAGCGACTCCTGGTCGGGGTCACCGCCGGCAGGAAGGACGAGGAAATGTCCCTCGTGGCTGCCGAGCCTCCCGTTTGTCCCCTTCCTTTCTCGCCGACTAGGAATCGGCGTCCCCAGGACAATGCGGGGCTCCCTGCGGACCCGGCCGCCACACGGGGCTGTGCCCTGCCCCTCCGTCCCTGCCCCCGTGTGCTGGTATAGCTGTTTTTAAACACGTTCCATGTTTCTGGAGGCTGGGAGCTGCGGGCTGCCTGGTTCTGCTTCTTGCTGCCTGGATCCAGAAGCACCGTGTGAGAACAGCATCACCAACAGTGACCGTGGCCGCCACACTCGCCCCTGCTCGCTGCGCCTGCGCTTCTCAACGTCGGCCCGGCCGTCTGCCTCCTGAGCACCCAGGGCAGGCCGCTGGCCCGCGCGCCCTCCTGCCACCCCCGCGGGGCTTCGATGGAGCTGAAACCCCCCCTCGCTGTGGGGTGTCTTCTCCGCGGGATGGACGCCGTTTGCTCAACGAATCCTTCATTCATTTCTCCATTAAGGACACATTTGTTGAACACCTGCTGTGTGGGGGGCGCTGCAGACACACGAGGAACAAGGGGTCAGAACTCGCTGCGGCTGCTGGGTTTTGGGGACGGACGTGAAGCGGGTGACCCCGCTAGTACACGTGCAGCCAGAGACTGGGAGCCACGAGGAATGATGCCGCCTTCTGTTTGCAACGTGCTAGGACCGTGGAACCGTGCTCTGTGGGGAGAAACCCAAGGCTGGGACTTATGTGGGCAACTCCCCGCCATCATCTCAAACCCAGGGCGTCCAGGGGACACGCCCTTCACCGGGGACACAGAGGAGGGCTGTTGGTCCAGGGAGCATTCTGGAAAACCGTGTAGTGGCTGGTTTTTGCAGGTCAGAGCTGAGAATCGGGCTGTCACCGCGGAGCCTGGGTCCCCGAATTCCAAGGGGATGTGGGACCCTGGGCAGCAGAGTCTGGAGGGCAGCTGGAACCTTCCGGAGACACGTGGGCCTGGCGCGTGCGGCAGGAAGCACGGTCCCAGCAGTGACGGTGGTGACTGAGCCCGCAGAGGTGTGCACAGGGACTAAGGAACGGATCACGGTGTCCCCAGGACTGAAATAGGTGGGCCGCCCGCTGAAGTCGCAACTCGGCCCCTGCAAAGCAAGTGCACTCCAGACCTGGCAGTTACGGTGACCAGGGTGGCTGCGTCACCACCGTAGTTGGGGGCCCTCCCTGCTTCCCAGACCTGGCGGGTCACATCCCCGAGCCCCTTGTACCTGGGGGAGGAGGACGCTGCACCCCCTTGAGGCCGGATGCTGACCCGAATCTACAAGGTAGATTTCCTCCTAACGGGCTCCAGACGTACGGACAGCAGAAACGTGCACCAGGGAGAGAAAAATCCTCCCTCTGGGGCTTTCACGGACACGGCTCT